AAAGAGTTGACATTGTCACCAACTCTTAAAGGTGGGATAGGTAAGTTTGAGAAACCGGCTCGAGATACACTTTTTGTTATATTCCATGGAATGCTCTCAACATCCCGATAGCAATGAATATCTTAAGTGCTTTGACAAAAAATCCATAAAAAAATGTCATCTGTGGAAGCAGTAATACTGTAAAAAGCACGACCAATCATTTTAGCCGGCCCGGCTAAAATAACTGCCTTCCATCTGTGCACAAACTTATCTCGTGCCCTCATTGGTCATGTGCGCGTTCGTGTGTGTTGGAGGAGGGGCTCTGTAAGGAAGTGGCAGATTTTCTCCGGTTGTGTATTTTCAAATTCTAGCGATCTCGAGCCGGTTTCTCAAACTTACCTACCCCACCTTTAAGTTATAGTTTTTTAGGTCTTTTAACCTTTTTTTGTTACTAGATCAGTCAGAAACTTTGCAACGTTCAATTACAGCTCCATCAAAGTGAAGTTAAATGGAAGGAAGATTTTGCATCATGTAATACCATCAAAACTATTCACCCTTCCCAATAGGATATGACAATAAAATTGCAGACAAATCTATACTTTTTTTTACCAATCAACATTTACATATTCAATCATGCAAAGCTCAGTTTTGATAATGTTTGGGGGGCAGATAACCCTCAGAACTAGACAGCACATTGGATCTTTCATATTAAGGAACTTTAGATTCTTAAGCCCAGTGGAACCTGAGCAGCAGAGCTAAATGAATGAGATGCAGGGACATCCACAGCTGCGTTGTTCTGTGAAGCATGGTTCTGCCGGACAATCTTTTTGCAAGTGTGTGCATCAAAGATGTAAATGTGTTTCCAAATATATATCTCTCCGTCTGTGTAAGCTCATGCCTGGGTTTAACATGGCTGAGAAGATTTAAACATGCATGTTTTATGTACATATGTTGTTCCAGCTTGCTTTTCTCACTATGCATCACCTGGCAGCGAGGCATCCATCAATTAGCTGTACAGTGTGAGCGACGCACGCAGACTGAAGCAGACTTAAGACTGCTGCTACATGCTCTTATCGGCTCAGATGGCTGTGAACCACATGTGTGCGCTTTCCCTCCGTCAGTTTATCAGTCCTTCAACATCTGTCTGAGCATTAACTGTTTACGCCCCACATGCTATCAGCGTACCATAATTCCCCGGGAATGCACGGCTAGACTTTTCAAGGTAGTGCTTTTACTGCCTTTATCAGGGGGTTTAATGCGCCCGGCAGAAGTCGGCATGAAATAGTACAGCAGTTATAACTTATAAGCTTTATACACATTGAGGAAAGGGAGGATATAGGGAAGGGCGGCAGTCAGATTGCATGATCTTCCAAGGAGCATGTGTGTAGTTCAGAGGACACAGCAAGTTTCTAGGTCTCCTCCTCCCCATGGGGTCTGTTTATAAATACCCAGTTATAAGGGAGTCACAGATCCCATGTTCCCCAACAACCCTGACCCATTTCTAGAGCAGTGGTGTGCTGGATTTCCAAATGCGGACGTATGGTGCACACTTAAATGATTAAATGACCACCCAAAACCAGTGAGGTATTTCAGACCATTTGAAGTCTTCGCACATGCTGCGTATTGACTTTTGAGATGTAAATAATTCAACTTCACCATTGCCTCTCAGTTTGTGCCATGTTCTAAGGTTTGTAGACTTCCTTGGCGTGCCCTCCAGTTGTAAAGTGGAGTATCTCGTAGAGACTGATGTGATCTATGAGCCCAATAACCAGGGAGCAGCAGTAATGGGAGAACAGGGAGATGGCTGAAAGATAGCTCCAGCATGCACAGGTTTTATAGACAGTAGATTCTTTCGGCACAGCAGATGAGTAAAGACATTTTAAATGTCTCCCTGCCCTTCAGATCTAATTGGTGCCTAACCACGTCCTGCTAATAAACTCTACTATGTTCTGATTCATGGTTTACAAGACCAGGGAAACACTGGCTTTTAACATGCACATTCCTTCTGTCCTGCCCATCAGCGCATTACCGTACAGGTTGTATTCCCACATCACTTTTTCCTTCGCTATTTCTCCTCCTCTCTTGATTTCTTTTCCTCCTCCACATTTCTCTCCGTCTTTCCCTGCTTGCCAAAGCACCACAGGCAGGTTTGAGGAGGCAGATCAGCAGTGAAGGAATAAAAAGGCATGAGGGGGGAGACTCCGCTCAGTAATTTGGTGCAGCAGGTTTGATCTGTGCTTGAAGTTCATTATAAAATCAGTTTCAATTACAGCAAGGCGGGCTGCTGGGTATCAAGGCCAGTCTAATGCCTTGTTAATGAGGCACTAGGAAACTCACATACACACACAAACACACACATGCTGCTCTCATTACGTACAAATCGGAGAACGGCAACCTCCATGCCCTGCTCTCCCCTAATGAATGCCAGTGTTGTGTTTATGGCTGTGGGGATGTGAGCTGGTTTCTGTACTCCTCTCTTGTGAGACCAGGCCCAGTTAGCCTAAACACTACCACAACAGATTATTATGCACCATAGTCTGCAATGACTGAACTCTGCCATAAAAAGGCACCCCCCCTCTCCCCGCTCCTTTCATCCGCTGCTGCGGTCCTGCCATCCATTTCTGACTCACGCACGCATTGGGTGAATACCCAAAGGCGTAATGTGTTTCCCCTTAATGAAAACCATGCTCAGACCCTAATGAAAAGGATGAGGAACATTGATTGGGCTGACACAAACACTAGCTCAGAGACACACACAGACACAGACACAGACACACACAAACGAATGTCCTGCCTGACAAATTGGATAGGAATCATTGATTGTCCGTCTGAAGGCGACTCTGAGAGATTGTTTCTTTTTTCTCTGGTGATCGGACAAAGCAGCTCCTTTGTTGATTGGAGGGATTAAGTGGCTTGCACATATCGATCTGCAAGCAGCCACAACGCTTTGGCTAAAAAGTTGTCAGACAGCATTGTGTGCCCTTGTCTGGCTCGGAGGGTTTTGTTATATGCTGACACACACACAGCTTGTAGATGCTGAAACACATGCAGACATTATGAAGAGTGCCAGACTGGTTTGAACCGGGCAGACAGACTGGTTGATGAGAGAAGGCGCTAAAGCCACTTGGCCCAGCACTCTGCCGCATGGTGAGGGCAGAGGAACCACAGCGCTGTCACTTAGCTGTAAATCCACAGACACACTGGAACAGGCAGACAAAAACAGACAGAGAGAGCATGCACACCGCAGGAATCTGTGGTCTGGAATCACTGCTATCCTAAGAATGTCAATTACGCTCCTATATCGCTCCATAAATGTAGGCTACTTCTTTGAAGGGTAAAGAGTCCTGATTGAAAAATGTGGAAACTCAAAACTGTTAAGTGGCTGTGGCGAATGTGTGACAAAACATTTACCCCCATAAACAGACATAAACAGCAGCCAAGAGGCATGTAATAAGTCTTTCTCTAGTAGAATAATTAAATTATGTGGAAATGGTCATGAATCAATAAATTACACACTTAAGAGAGTGATGGTTAAAACTATCAACAACATTCAGTTTCCAATACGTTTTTTAAATATTTCTCATTTTCCCTGTGGTAACAAATAGCATTTTAATGATCTTTTAGATTCTGTTTTCCTCTGGTCTACCAAATCTCGCACAGGCCCATGCCTCCTATTCTGCCGCCAGTTCCTCTGCATGGTCCGGACAACCAGACAGGCCCACAGCTGGCTCCCTCCGGACCCTGCTAAGCCTTGTTAAGGATAGTTTTAAAAGCTGTGAAGTGACCTGCAGATAAACAGCCCTCTGCCAGATACACCAGGGAATTGCTCTGGGACTGAGCTGGGTCCTAAGTAGCAGCCGGCCTGAAACACACAGACATGCATGCCCACACTAATGGGGTTGAGTGATGTCTGGTTCCCCGGGACCATCTGACACTGATTAGAGTTTGTGACTGTTCTGTTTTAAACGACCAATTGTATGTATGTCTCTGTGTTCATTTCGTTCCTTGACAGTTTTTTTATGGTGGGATTTTGTCCGACATTTTTCTTGTCAACGTTTTGCCTCAGCAGCCCTCTGGCTCACAGGAAAGAGTAAACTAGAAAAGTCATATTTCACCGCACTGCAAAGGTTTCAGCGGACACTTTGCAGACACCCAGAGGATAAAAACAAGTTTCACAAGAACAAGTGAGGTCATTATTGATTTCATGATATCATATGAGAACATAAGTGCTGGAAACTGTAAATGTTATACTAAAAAGAAATATGACTTTAAGTTGAAGGCCTTAACACCCTCACACAAATCGAGACGGAGCCTTTTCCCCTCCAGTCCTTTTCCACAGCACTTTAGTATTCAGACTGTTTATTGGTTCTGAGGATGTTATGACTCCAACATGCCTGGACCTATTACAGCTGGGAAATAGATCTCCGCTAATATAATCAGGCCAATCACCAAAGGTCAGAGGTAATGGGAGGATTACTCAACTTTGTTACCATGGAGAAGTCTATTGTTGGTTAACTGATGGTATCTTTTTCTTTTCTCCTCTTCTCCTCTTCTCCTCTTTTCTCCAGACGTCTGGAGCAGAATGGGATTAAGTCTGTTCCTCCCGGAGCCTTCTCTCCCTACAAGAAGCTGCGTAGGATGTAAGTACAGCAGTACACTCACCTCAGGGCTAAATAATACAGACGAGAACAAGAAGTTGACGGCTGGAAAAAGAAGCGACAATTGGCAGTCTTCTCATTCCACTCCTGAGGAGCATGAAGTATTTATTTTGTCTGCCCCGAGAGAACATATTCCTGTTCTCAGACTTGGGGTGGCATGGAAAGCAGGCACTCAGATGCTACATGAGCATAATAACAGTTCTCATCTTTCATGCTGCACACTGGTATTCCCCTGGCTAGTGTTGTGTCCAGTCTGTGTGTGTGTTGTGCCTGCGTGGGCACACTGTAAACTGCGGCTGGGAGGATGATGAGGGGACGGAGAGTGTGCTGGAATGAGGCCTCGCTCTCTCTGGGAGTGAACAGCATCAGGCTGGTAGATGAGTGGTTTTTCACCAGCTGTCCGGTCAACCAGCCAGCACACACCAGTCGGCCAAACCCACAGCTCCAACACCACCAGGCCTGACCGACATAGCAGCAGGGAGAAACTGAGGGTCACGGAGTTTCTCTGCACTTCTTTAAGGATCCCTCTCTGCTTTATAATCCAACTCCAGGGACAGTTTGATGTTCAAATGAGGTATATGCTGACATGCTGAACTCCTGAGGAAACTGCTTTCTCATTGCAAATCATGTTTCTATGTTATGGTAAAGGAAACACTTAAACTAAATAAATGTTAGGTTACTTTGAAAAATGGTAACAAAAAGGTCATTATTATTTACTGAATAATATGATACAAACTTTTTGGATTTTCATAGAATATAAAAACCAGGTCCAATGGCAGTTTAACAGATTGAACAAATCCATATAAACAAACTGTTAAAGTTAATGTTGTGGCAAAAATATGATGCATGAAAATGCTAATCTTATCTTAACTCCATATCCTAAATTAAGTATATCAAGTTTTACGGCAACTTTGCTGTTCTTCTTTAGGCGTTTGGTGAATTATCTTTATTTTTTGTCAGTTTATGCTCAACAAAACGTCAGGTTTTTCGCCTTTAGCTAAGTAAAACTGACATGAACTGCTACTGTTGCTGCTGCTGAATCTGCATTTAGCAACAACAATGCATGGCCACATGTCTGTGTTGACCCTCCGTCCCTCTGTTGATTCAGCTGGCAGTGTGCCCTCACTGCCGGCCTCTCCTGTGTCCAACACCCGCATAACACACTGTGTGTAGACAGCATCCACATCATGACACATACAGTATGTTCACGCTATGGGTTCAGACTCTGCTGATGTTCATATGTATGTCTGACAGTATAAATAGATGTTAGTTATCCCCACGTATTATCTATCTGGAAAATGTGTTATTGTAAGTCATGATTATGTAAGTTAAAGTTATATTTAGGGATTGTTTGTATTTGTTTGTTTATTTGTGGAGTTATGTGAGCATCCCTCTCCTCACCATGTGTGTCCTCCTCTCCCTGTAAATACCAACCACACACATTTTCTTTCACCTTGTCCCAGTTTAGATGCCCTACACATGAACCGCTCCTTAAGACAGGGATGCAGTAACAGCCCTCACACCGACACACACTCAAACACACCAGTGTCTGAGTTTACAGACACACACCGGTGCAGATTTGGCTCCTTCGCCACATTTTTTGTTTCCAGGAAACCTCAGTCCTTTGCAAAAAGACAAATGGGTACTTTTTTGACTGTTACCCCCCAATGAGAAAATATCCCTCTCCTTCACCACATGATGATTTTCCTTCAAAGGTATCCAGTCGACTGGAGTTCAGTCCACATAGTCCATTAACTCTCCCTCTCCATCTGTCTTTCTCTCTTTCTGTCCCACTGTTCCTCATTTACTGTTGGATTTACTCTCTCACACACACACACACACACACACACAGACACATAGACACATAAACACATAGGCACACAGGCTTAGTGGTTATCCTGTGGGGAGAGGCCTGTGGATCCTATTAACTATGTTCAGAGGCAGTCTACTGTATTTCTCTTTGGATTCTAGCCCTGCACCCCATTTTTACTCACACACACTCACCTTGATACAACACAGGGCCAGTTGATAGGCCACAAATAATACAAGCAAATGTTTTGATTGGCTCCAAAACTCTAGCTCGCTCAATTTCATTAAATCCCTTGAAGAGACGCACCAGCAAATATGGGAGAGAGCTGGAACTTATCTCAATCCAGCTCACACTACATTTACTTCCTCGTTGCTTGCCAGTGACACCAATGGATGTATTATAAGAACACCCAGGTGACACTGGGGTAAAACCTTCCACAGAAAAATGACTTTTTCCCCAAGACCTCAGTTTCCTTGAATAAATCTCTGACCTTCTTCTTCAACGCAGAGACCTGAGCAACAACCAGATCTCAGAGATAGCTCCTGATGCCTTCCAGGGCCTGCGCTCCCTCAACTCCCTGTAAGTGGCCCTGAGCCGTGTTTTTGCATGTATCTCTGCATAAATATTCACCCTGTTGTCATTTCCCGTGTCTTATGCAAGGGTGTGTTGTGATTTCCCAGTGTGCTGTATGGAAATAAGATCACCGACCTGCCCAAGGGGGTGTTTGACGGCCTCTACTCCCTGCAACTGCTGTAAGCAGAACACACACACACACACTCTGCTGATATACTGCAGACATAAACTGAATACCACGCATCCTTTACTCCCACTCAGTAAAATAAGTCATAACCTTCAAATAAACTTTGTACCTGTGCATAGTTTTCTAGATGGAATGCATAATGAATGAATATATAAAGAAACTCTGACAGGCTGCTTCCCTCCTTCCTTCTTCCTCGCTCTCTCTTTGTTTCCTTTTCTTCCCCCTTACTCTCAGGTTGCTGAATGCCAATAAGATTCACTGCGTTCGCGCCAACGCCTTCCAGGACCTGCAGAATCTCTCGCTGCTATCACTCTACGACAATAAGATCCAAACTGTTGCCAAGGGCACCTTCACTTCACTACGAGCTATACAGACCCTGTGAGTGGAACACACGCACATACACATGCTGCTGCGCACGCTCTGACACATACTGAGCTGTCACCATAAAACATGAGCCAACACAGGAGTTGTTTACTTGCAGGTCTGTGTAATAACACAGGAATGGAATGATGAGGTAGAGAGGAGAGTAAATCTATCATCTTCACAAACACGCGGACACACACAGCTTCTGCGGCCAGATCCAGATCAAAAACAGCGCACACCACACCCTCTTTCCACCGCCGTTACCCAGACAGCACCAATTGGGTCTAAATGAATGTTCTACTTTTTTTCCTTTTCCGATAAACAAGGCAAACCACATGCTGTTATCAATACAGACCCCACACCATGGTGCCTACCATGTCTCAAACACACCACATGAGATTGTCATCCATATATGCTAATGTGTTCTAGACACCTGTTGAAGATGATGATGGATAGTGCTACCACTATGTTCAACACACACACACACACACACACACACACACACACACACACACACACACACACACACACACACACACACACACACACACACACACACACACACACAGCCCTGGGTTTAAGGGTCCCAGTCTAAAAACAAGCTTCTTGTTTTGCCCGCTACTTGTTTGGCCATTGCATGTATTTATACCCCTTCAAATCGGGGTATTAATACATGCAAAGTCTTCCCACGATCTCTTAACTCCTTAATTAACTTCATCATTTGGATTCAAGTACACACTGAGCTGAAGTAAAGTTAAAGCGATGTTTATTACATTATTAGTTATGGTCATCTTGGATTCTTTATTTTCTGGTACTTTTTATTGAATTAGTGTTACGCTGAGAGGTGTAGCTAATCTTGAGTCAACTCCATTTATTGATCATGAAATTGGACAAATCTGTCAACACAATATAAATCTCTAGCAAAACACACTACTGCCTCAAAAATAAAGGCCTTTTAAATATATTAAATGTATGCCAAAATAATTGACTAAATAATCAACCTAAAGTTATTATGTTTTACATTATTGTAAATATGATGAATTATGTGGGATCAAAGTCTTAACATTCTCAGTAACGGTTTAGTTTTTTTAGTTTTTGAGTAGAGTTTGCCCAGAATCATAAATCAAAATAATTTACATTTGAGGAAGTTACAGATGGACAGAGCCAAGATAGTCTCTATGCCAAGCTAAGCTAACCAGCTACTGGCTGTAGTTTCATATTTACCTCACAAGAATTAGAGTGGTATCAACTTTCTCTTTTTACTCTTGACAATAAGTAAAAAGACATTTCCTTAAGTGTCAAACTATTGTTTTAACAAAATAAGATCATGTTATTATGACATGACTTAACCTTAAAGTCAATAAACAAAGATATAAATATAGATGTACTCTTTATGATGTTTCTGTTGGCCTTTGGGTTACAGTTTCCATGTATTTTTATTTGTTACTCTCTCTCCTTACTTCCCCTCCCCTTTCTCCAACTCTCCCTCGCTGTTCTCCAGTCACCTGGCCCAGAATCCATTTATTTGTGACTGTAATCTGAAGTGGCTGGCAGACTACCTGCGCTCCAACCCCATCGAGACCAGCGGCGCCCGCTGTGCCAGCCCTCGCCGACTCGCTAACAAGCGCATCGGACAGATCAAGAGCAAGAAGTTCCGCTGCTCCGGTAGGCCGGTGGCTCCGTGTCACTCTGAACAAATGTCCCCCTCACATTTCTCTCTCGGGCTTTCTATCTCTCGGACAGACTGTTTTTATTCCACTTGTTTCTCACCTTCTTACTCTGACCTTCTCTCTTCCTCTCCACTGGGAGTGGCTTGTATCTCTGCTTTGTTCCCTCTACCTTACAGCATATGTAATGAGTGATCATTCCTGGCTAAATGGTTTATTCGGCCATTTGCTGTGCCGGTGCGACTCAATCAATATCCCCCCAGATGAACTTGGGGCCAAGGAGAGACAGATTGTTTCGCTGTTTCTCCGTTTCCCCTCCATATTACCACAGTGTGGTTTCATATTCAAACCGCAGTGAGCTGAGATCACCATTCGAGGCTGGTATAAGGGCTAGAGTTTCTTTACGTGCCCACCATTCCTCTGCCCTCTGCCAATCTCAGCCTCCATCTCCCCCCTGCTCCCCACTCTCTGCCTGCCAGGCTCAGGTTTCCTTCACCCCCCCCCCCCCCCCTTCTCACTCCTATGCACTGCACTATCCATGCCTCACCATCCACCCTCCCTCCTCCTCTGCCCACTATTGTGTTTATGCACTGTGTTACGCTGTCTGGCACTCTGCGCTGCTGAGGTTTCACACTTCTTTATAGCCTCATTTGTTTGGCTAGACCTGCTGAAGAAGGGAGTCCATGTGTTTTTCTCTTTCTTTTCTCTTTCTTTCTTTCTTTTTTCTATCTTTTTTTCTCACTGTCTTCCCTTCATTTCACTCTTCCTTAGCAACAGCCAAATATTTACCACCTTTTAACATCGTTACTAGTTCCTCCACATTGCCATGCACAGAGACAGTCCTAGGCTTCTCTGTTTAAATGTCATATACCTTGTGTCGTCATATATAATCTTTATATATGACTGTTCTGAAGCATAGCAACACCACAGCTATGCCGGCCAGACTGGTCTCACTGACATCCGTCCCTCTTTCTTTTCTCCATCACAGCCAAAGAGCAGTACTTCATCCCAGGTGAGTGCTTGTAAATGTTCACACCTATCATTGTCTTCCTCTTTTCTTTAATTATCCCACCGCAGCCGTGTAGAGGCATCATTCATTCCATTACGTACTGTTCATTGAAATACCATTCTCCTGCAGTTTAAAGGATACTTTCAGTTTATAACAACCTTTTTGTAGTTTTGGCACAATTCCTTTCCGTAATGATAACATTTTATTTATTACGTTTATTGCTGAGAGCTGGAAACCTGGCAACACAGGTACTACTTAGTCACATGGGGATGGAAACAAAAGCATTCAGATGCCAACAGAGGAGACAGAATGATGTTGAAGAGGAAGCAAAAGAGAGTCAAAATGATGACCCTTAAATACCTCTTGTGTAATTGTAATATCCTTTCATTTGGATGATGGTAGGATGAACAGAGGAAATGAACTTCAGAGAATTTACTTTGGGCATTAGGGGTTGAAATTATTCAAAATGGGCATGCTAGTAGGAATGTATACATATAAGTGCAGCTAATTGGGCGTTTGAGTGGCTGGACCCATGTGTTCATCTTAATGAATATATGTGTGAGAGCGTCTGTTTCTCCTCAGCTCTGTTTTCCTAACAGTCTCAGCAGATAGAGTCCAAAGGAAGTGGCTCTTTGCTTTGGCATGAGCACAGACAGTCCCTCACCAAGAGGGGCAGAACGGGTGGGTGGGTGGGGGGGGGAGGAGAAGGACAGAAGGGAAGGAAAGTGTGTCCTTTCTATCAGTAAGAGCTAAAGAAAATAAAGCCCACCAGAGGACCCAGATTCCTATCAGCGGATGTTTCCGGACAAGCACTTCCAAGAAAATAACTAGGAGGCGCAGTGATGTGTGTCGGAGGAAGTGTGTGTGTGTGTGTGTGTGTGTGTGTGTGTGTGTGTGTGTGTGTGTGTGTGTGTGTGTGTGTGTGTGTGTGTGTGTGTGTGTGTGTGTGTGTGTGTGTGTGTGTGTGTGTGTGTGTGTGTGTGTGTGTGTGTGTGTGTGTGTGTGTGTGTGTGTGTGTGTGTGTGTGTGTGTGTGTGTGTGTGTGTGTGTGTGTGTGTGTGTGTGTTGTGTGTGTGTGTGTGTGTGTGTGAGTGTGTGTGTGTGTGTGTGTGTGTGTGTGTGTGTGTGTGTTGTGTGTGTGTGTGTGTGTGTGTGTGTGTGTGTGTGTGTGTGTGTGTGTGTGTGTGTGTGTGTGTGTGTGTGTGTGTGTGTGTGTGTGTGTGTGTGTGTGATTCAGTGTCTGCGCCTGTTCGTCTGCATGTTAGTAAATTAATGTGTCTTTGTGCGCTGGGCTGAGATAAAGCTCTTCACTGGCTAAGAGAACAAATGGGAGTAAAATGTAAGCACAAGGAAGATCAAAGCCAAATGTGATTAATGAGAATGTTACCCTCCCTGAATGATAACAATAAAAGCCTCCACGATACACTCACACACACACACACACACACACACGCACTCAACCCACACACAATCACAGACAGCACTGGAATTCCATAATCCATTGATAATGAGGAACCAAGCTGCGGGGAATTGTGAGAACTCCTACAACTCCAGCGATGAGTCATTTTGTGCCTTAGAGAGGGGAAAACCTAATTCGTCTCCTCCTGCATTTTCTCCTGTTTCGTTTAAATCTGCTGACAGTAAAAGTGTCGCCACCACCCACTTGTGACGATGACGATGACTCAGGCTCGTCACGAATCTCCCCCGGCTCCTTTACATCCTCAAGATCAAAGCGCTGAGCTGTACTTTCATTGCTTCCTCTGTAACAGGAAATGCCTTTTCCTGTTGTATGGCCTGGCGAGGGAACGTTTGTTAATGACCTACATTAGTGGGACTATCCGCACCTTCCACTGAGCCACTCTGAGAAGTGACACAGATTAAGGAAAGTCTTTGCATTGGCAGCCACTGGAAGTCATTTCTGAGACTGCAAATTCACTCTTTTTCTGTCCAAACGAATTCTAATAGGATCAAAAATGAGGATTTGGGGTTAGGTCATGGTTTCAAATGTCGCTCCATTTATGTGAAAATAATGTTGGTGCATTAAATGTTGGATTTTGTCCTGGTTGTTTGAGGTTTTCCTGCTCGGTGTCCGATGGTGCTGACGTCATTACCAAACCGGAGGCCCACCGGTGTGACCATGCAAAAAAGGGAACAGGATGTTAGGATATCCTAACAGAAATCACTGGGCTGTTCCCTCTAAATGGGACATTTGCACACACATTAAGTCTACACGCACATATATACAAAGACACAATACACAAACTCAGACACACACACACTGTTCTAAGTGGCTCCCAGTGCTTCTCCATTATTGAGCAGCCATGATGTAACTGGCAGCACGCTTTTTGGCACGTAACGTCTATTCATAGACAGAGGAGGTACAGGAAAACGTCCCACATTCCCCATGCTGCCTAATTCTTGCCCTTCCTCTCTCAGGACAGACGTCTTTCTGCACCTTTGCCACTCACCTTTCATTTCTCTCTCATCTGCATGTTCACATCTCTCTTCCTTTTCTTCCCTGCATGCATTTCTGTCCCTCATGCCCTTCTTTTTCTGTTTGCTACCTCTCGTCTCCTTTGACTCCACCTGTCTACACACGCTTCCTGTGCTCTCTCTTGGGTGCTCTGCTTCACTAAAGCTGGCAGCCTAAATCCTCTTTGGCATCCCTATCTCAATCTCCCCTGCCACTGTTCTTTTCACCCCACTGCTCCCACTCTATCACCTCTCTAAAATAACTCACCCTCGCCCCCACCCTTCCATCTCCTCGCCCTCACCCGTTCATTTCTGTCCTATGAATAGTAGCAGAGCTGCAGGATGTTCTACAGCGTGACTAAGGTTAAAGATTTGTTAGGAAAGATGCCTTTCAGGTCACAACAGGACAAACTGACATCCAGCTCATGCCTGACTACTGCATCATGGGCGACTGAGACATGTTTCTTGTTATAGGGAAGAGACTGATGTCAATCTGTGTGTGAATTTGTTCCTGTTCAGGTACAGAGGACACCCGTCTGAATAACGCCTGCAACAGCGACCCAGTCTGTCCTCCCAAGTGCCGCTGTGAGTCGAACGTAGTGGACTGCTCCAACCTGAAACTCACCAAGATCCCAGAGCACATCCCTTCATCCACCTCTGAACTGTAAGCAATCAGGACAAGGCTTTTGTACACTTTTAACAGAAAGAGATCATAAGTAATGTGTATGTCCTGTGTCTGACGAGGCACACAGACATAAGTGCAAGCTTCTCAAGAGCATGATGTTGAAGAGGAAGTTGTTACACTGAACATTATAAAGCAATTCAATCTCCTTTTAGGACTCCATACATGAACTTCCACTTTGGCCATGAGAGGAAACTTCCAAACATCAGATATGAATTTCAAATGCTTAGTTTTGGAGTAGACTTGTATAGTTGTCTGATCAGAGACTCTTTACATTGTTGGTGGTAATCCTCGGATTATGGGGATAAATCCTTTTTTAGTATATAACAAATAAAATATATAAACATTAATTCCATAGCAGGTTCTTTGTGATGGTCGGTTATTATGTGATGTAAACGAAAATGATGTAACTTAACAGCTCATAAAGAATAAATACTATGAACCTTATGTGAAATATAACCTCATCCAAAGACAAAGATCCCTTTGTGCACAGTTAGGCTCAGGAACATTACCAAAGCTCCAGAGACAGGCATGTGAATGCCCCTCCAAAGGAGGATAGACCTTGCTTGTTGTGTGAGCTAGGTGAAATTGAAAATGAGGTGCACTTTCTGTTTGACTTTCCTATCTACGAGGACATAATATATTTACTTTTTACTAAAATGACATCCATTATGTGGATAACTGTTGGCTGTATGACAAAGCAAATTGTACTTGAGGAAGGGAATCTTTTTTGTAGCAGATTTTATCTGCAAGGTTTTGTAAAGAATACGTTTGAAATTGAGCGATAAAATAACCAGTTTGACCATAGCAAATAAAGAATTCAATCAATGCAGAAGGCGACAGAGTTAGCAGGGACAGCATGAAAAGAATGGAGAATAAGTAAAGAGTGAACCTTTGAATTTGTTTTGAAGGAAATAGAAATATTTGAAGAGAACTTTACATTTCAATTGATTTGTTTTTTAATTTATTTTCAACTTTTTCTCTCCAGCCGCCTTAACAACAATGAGATTACGACTCTGGAGGCAACTGGAGTTTTTAAGAACCTTTCCCAGCTTAAGAAAATGTAAGTTGGACTTTTATTTTACTTTTTCACTTTACCTTCCAGCAGTCATTATCTAAATATGAATGTACTTCCTTGACAGTAACCTCAGCAACAACAAGATCACGGAGGTTGAAGATGGGTCGTTTGAAGGGGCGTCGTCCGTCAATGAGCTTCACCTCACGGCCAATCAGATCGACTCGGTCCGGAGCGGGATGTTCCGCGGCCTTGAGGGATTGCGCATGCTGTGAGTAATGCATCTACACATACAATCACACACTCAAGCATGGTGTATCTCTACAGTCAAGATACTATTCTGGATGTTTAATGATTCTGTGTTTGATTTCTTTCCTCTTTAGGATGCTGAGGAACAACAAGATCAGCTGCGTCCACAACGACAGTTTCACAGGGTTGCACAACGTCCGCCTGCTGTCTCTGTACGACAACCAGCTGACCACGATCAATCCAGGAGCATTCGACACTCTGCAGACTCTCTCCACACTGTGAGACCCTGGCCTACACACAACTTCAACTTCAATCATGCATTTAATGTTTCAAAGCTCTCACAAACCTTCTTACGCTCACTTTCCCCCAGTAACCTCTTGGCCAACTCCTTCAACTGTGACTGCCGGCTGGGCTGGCTCGGCGATTGGCTGAGGACGAAGAAGATTGTGACCGGTAACCCTCGCTGCCAGCGTCCTGCCTTCCTGAAGGAGATCCCTCTGCAGGATGTGGCTCTGCCTGACTTCCGCTGTGAGGAGGGTATGTAGTGCCAAGACACACAACACACTGCCTCTGATTTAAGGCTCTTTCTGTATGTCCTTTTTCAGACCGTATCTGAACTTTAGTTGCAGCTTCCCCACTTTAAATGAAGTAATCTGTCTCTGTGAAAGCAGATAAACATCTTCAATATAGCAGTCGACCTCCACTATGTGGGAAACTAACCTCTGGGTATGACTGATGAGGATTTTAACGTTGCACTCTGCTCCACAATACATCATGACCGAGAGCTGCTTAAAGTGTCTGAGATCATCTTAAATAATGACCGCTATTGTGTGACTCTTTTGTTTACTGAATAGATTGCTACTCAGCAGTTCCTAAACTGCTGGTCGATGCCAGGCTGAGTGGAGCTATTGAGCTGTTTGCCTTATTGACCAGTCAGCCTATTTGCACCTGAATGAATGTTGGACTTGTCTTCGGGCTTCAGGCAGCTTCCTTTCTTTGCTCTGGCTAATCGATATTACATTAGCGAGGCTTCTCTCCCTCTGTCCTAACTTACTTTTCACATTTGTGACTTCCTCCTTTTTAATTGTCAGCTAGAAGGATTGTTTTGGCACTGTTGCTTTGTCTTTCTACAATTTATTTTCCAGGGACAACAGCTCTCTTTCTGCTATCCTCCACATCTTTCCTCCTGGTCATTCCTCGTTTCTCTTCTTGTCTGGTATCTGACTCGCCTCTGTCTCCTCTGTTTTCTCCCAGGACAAGAGGAGTCGTCAAGCTGTGTGCCCAGACCCCAGTGTCCCAGTGAATGTACTTGCCTGGAGACTGTTGTCCGCTGCAGTAACAAGCACCTCCACACACTGCCCAAAGGCATCCCAAGAAACGTGACTGAACTGTGAGTTCCCCGGCAATAATTATGCCAATTGCATGCATATCTTATCAGTTTGAGTTCCAGGTATTTTTGTTCCTTTGTCTGGCTTTGGTCTGGGAAAAAAACAAAGGAGACGATATATTTTTTTAAAAAGTAGGGAGGAGGAATGAAAGAGATAAGAATTAGTGAAAATAGTGGAGACAAAGAAGACAGATCCCATCATCTGGAAGAGGGGAAAGGAGTCAATAAACCCTGCATTTATTCTCTCAGACATTCTTCTTCTGTGTTCCCTGCAGCCCTCAGGGCTAGCACTGATGTCACTCTGGCACTCCGAGCCAAGGATCAGAGTCTGTGTGTGTGTGTGTGTGTGTGTGTGTGTGTGTGTGTGTGTGTGTGTGTGTGTGTGTGTGTGTGTGTGTGTGTGTGTGTGTGTGTGTGTGTGTGTGGCTATGTGTGTTTGTGCATATTTTGTGTAAGGGCCAAAAGCCTGTCCACAGGAGCATAGGGGAGCAAGAGGACATTTTAATGAGCAGTTTTCAATGGAACGGGGAGGGAATGGAATAGGGTCTGGAACTTTCCAATACTGCTTCAGTGATTCAGACTTATTCACACACACACACACACACACACACACACACAGACACACACACACACACACACACACACACACACACACACACACACACACACACACACACACACACACACACACACACACACACACACACACACACCACACACACACACACACACACACACACACACACACACACACACACACACACACACACACACACGCTGTGAAAGCCTTTAGGCCTGTCATTGTCCCAGCAGGTGTGACCAGGTGTGCCCTTCTGTTGTGGGCTTTCATCTATTCATCTGGAGAGTTTGCTACTCCATCATTATCCCAAGTGTCCTCTGCACCATCATTACCTATCATTACCTCTAAACCCAAAGGCCCCCCCTAACTAACCAGTAACCCACCCCCGCCTTCCCACCCAGGGAACAGTCAACTATAGCAAGAGAAAGCCCCTGCAGCTAGGTTCAGAGGGACCAGGACCCTAAATAAGCCATTTATCAAGGTGACAGCCCTCTGGTAGCACTTTATGTTGGCAGTCAGCAGGGTGGTTGCATCCCTGCAGGCATTATGTCAACTATAGTTGCTTGTAAATACATCAGATGTTAACACACACATGCACAAACAAACACTTAAGTGGTGGTACCTCAGTCACTTAAGAACGTGGTGTGCTGGGTCACATTCAGAAATCTCAGTGAATGTTTTAAATTAGCTGTATTTCCCTCATTTTTAAGACAAAAGGAATGTATCACAGTATTTGTATGGAATAGAAATGCAGGAAGCTAACAAACCCTAACCTCCAGGCATGAGACACAATCTAAAGTCAAGAAATTACAAATTAAAAAGTGATTTTAAAGAAAAACGATTTCCTGGTTGGTGCAATATGAGCCTTAATGGGCTGCAACAGCATGTAGAAAAGTGTTGTTTGTAAAAAGTGTGATGTCCTGCAACAAAGCTTTAAGCTCAGTAAAGAAGGAAAATAATATGCTGACAAGAAGAAGAATAAAATGTCCAAATGTAGAATTAAATACATTTTCTTTACCAATTTACTTGTAATATGAATCCCATATTAAAATGCCCCTAATAATGTGGCAGTCCCTAATTAGGTAACTGGCAGCAATACTGCTCAACATTGTGCTTTCTTACATTTCATAAACATATCCCATACAATACAGATATCTGAATCCTTTTCTGACTCATTACTTGTGACTCTCTGTTCAGGTATCTGGATGGAAACCAGTTCAGTGTTTTGCCAAAGGAACTGTCTGCCTTCAAATACCTACAGCTGGTGTAAGTATTTGTCTTGCTGCCCCCTCTGCCTCACTTTGCAGATCAATATGATGAATTATTGTTTTTTTAATGTTCCTTTCAGAGATCTGAGCAACAACAAGATCAGCTCTCTGACCAACTCGTCCTTTGCGAACATGAGCCAACTCACCACTCTGTAAGTCCCGTCTCAGCCAAGAGCTAGTATTTCATCCTGGTGCTGACAGCAGGATGGAAACAGATGACTTTTATATATATATGCATGTGTAATTATTTTTACTTTTCAGAATCCTGAGCTACAACTCTCTGCGTTGTATCCCCAAAATGGCCTTCAGTGGACTGCGCTCTCTCAGACTGCTGTGAGTTTATTTTGTTATATTTTAAAAACATTCCGATTTGTGTGTGTTTTTAGGATTAGTTTAAAATACTGGTTTTAAATTCATAATGTATCTGTCCAGTGGTATAAAATGCATATCTATTGTTTGAAAAGTTGTCACATCATTTCAAGACAATGGTCAAAACAGCATCTTTATTTGAAACAGTTGACGTTATTTTGAAAGTAGCTTTCTAAAACAAGATAAGACTCACATTCAGACTAAATGAGTTATTGAAGAGGATATTTTCACAGCTTGCACTGACTACAGAGGCGGTGCAGCAGATGCCGAGAATCTTTGATTCTCTCCAGAGGACCGAAACACAGTCTAAACAGTTATGACAGCTTATGAATTTACACACACACACAGACACACATTCACACAACCTCTGACCTATTTTCTCTGTTTAAATGGCAACCATGGGGGCAGCAGCAGTGTTGTTGCAGCTTCTGCTCCTTCCCACACCTCATATAGACATCTTCCCAGTCTGCCTGTTCACCTCTTAACGCCCCGAGCTCATCACTGCCTCACTGCAGGGCCAAACACTCGCCCCCACAACCTACTGTACAAAATCACCCTGACACTGATTACCAGCGAATGTTTGCCCCGCTAACCGTAATGGTTTTGACTCTGCCTCCGGGCTTTTATGAAGTTATGATGTCTTTGATTGTGTCCTCTCAATGACCATGGGCTCCCCGTAGTTGAATCGGTCTGCTAAATAACTGAGATGTAGAATTTAAATACGTTTGACAGATAAATGACGAAACCAAAACCAACCTCATGGCTTTCTCCGCAGATACAGCAGCTGGATGCCTCACACTTTAACTCAAATGTACAGTTAAGTTCTGTGAGGGAGAAACAGCGATCAGGCCTAGCAGCACTCCTTATGAGATTATGTTTGCCTCTGTGTGTGTGTGTATATGTGTGTGTATGCATAGTTTATATGTTTGTCATCTACTGGCTCGGTGCCCGTTAGTATGTGTGTGGGAGTAGACTTATCGGCCTTCCATGTGTGCTCATAGCAGGCACACTTTTTACTACTGACAACAAAGCTTTGACAAAGCCTCTTTTTACGGCGGGATTCGACTAAAGTCCCGATCATTACGGGGCACAAAGCGTAAGAGCCCTTTTAGCGTGGAATGAGAGTGAAGCTCAGTCATCATTAGCCGATGCCGCCTTGCTAGCCCAGGCGCGTCGCTTTGATCTCTAATGAAGCAGCATCCGTTATTTCTGCTCTTACTCACTCACGCCACCTTCACTTTTAAAAATAAAGCTAATGTGCTAGACGCCATGTGAGGCCCTCCCCTCAACGCCATCCGCCCCACAGACACCACACAGGCTCAGAATTATATAAAAGCTCGCACAGACTGTCTGGACTACCTTATTGTCTCAGTCAGACGGGAGTCCACATGAAACTTTGATGTCTTTACTGCTGGAGTGATCAATCATAAGACTCCCATTAAATGTGAATTGGTGCCATGCTTTTTTTTTTACAACAAGGCTGTGTGGGTGCAACGAAGCTAAAGCGACAATGAGCTCCATTTAATGGTTTCAACCCAGTTCAAAGTTCAAAGTTGGAAGCTTCATAGAAAACCACAGTGAGATGCCAAAGCCTACAAGCGGGACACACTTGTGCGTACTCACACACACTGAGGTGCCAAAGGCTTTATAAAGCTGCCCCTCTGGCTTTACAGAGCAGTAAAGAGGAGAAGAATCATTAACGCTCAGGGCTTCAAACAGACCAGGGGTCTGAGCCTGGCATGGGTGTGGTAATGTGGTTTTGGTGTGTGTGTGTGTGTGTGTGTGTGTGTGTGTGTGTGTGTGTGTGTGTGTGTGTGTGTGTGTGTGTGTATGTGTGTATGTGTGTGTGTGTGTGTGTGTGTGTGTGTGTGTGTGTGTGTGTGTGTGTGTGTGTGTGTGTGTGTGTGTGTGTGTGTGTGTGTGTGTGTGTGTGTGTGTGTGTGTGTGTGTGTGTGTGTGTGTGTGTGTGTGTGTGTGTGTGTGTGTGTGTGCGCGTTGGTTGTGGTTTTTTGAGCTGCAGATTAATAAGCTGCTAATTGGCCTGCTGGGTATTAGGTGTGAGGTGAGTGAGCTGAGACAGCGCTAGGGCGTGGCTCGCCAGGGCTTGGGTGGGAAGCTGTAAGAAAAGAAAGTGATATGAAAGACTGTGATAAAGTAAAAAGAACTAAAAAGAAAGTAATAGCCTGGAACAAACGGAATAAAATCCGACATCTTTTGAAAAATGCGGTTGGATGCAGTGCTTTGAGGAAATTCCAGTATCACATGATCTTCAAAACACGCAGCTCAGAGGACTCACAGAATCACAAAAACAATATTAACTGGTTGCAGGTGAACAAGCCTGTGTGCACATTTTGAACAGTTGGATAGCCTGAGCACACTGACTGTACTGACGTCTTGTGAGCTGCAGAAACATCCATTGCAATCCCATGCTTATGAAATGCAAGATTAGAAATACATTAAGACATAGGTAAGATGGAGTGATGTAATGATGTACAGCTGTAGAAATTAAATAAAAAAGGAGAATGCAGGGGAGAGGATCAGGTTTCTTCCTGGAGACTCCATGGCTCCTTTCTCCCATGAGATCTGTGCCTAGCTGGCACACTGCAGCTGGCTCCATGCCCTCAGTATCCTACCACAACCCAACTGCTCTCTCTACACTAATAAGCATGCTCCCCTGCACACAGGCCAATTAACTTGTTGTCTCAGACGGTTACATTGTATGTTTTCCTTTTCGTATTCGAGCACGGCTCTGCATCTTTACGCTGACCAGCTACCCCCCCCCTCTGTATTCTTTCCCCTGACTCGTCCACAGCTTAGTGGTAATTCACAGATCAAACAAAGAAGGAAGTAGGGTTTTCAATGTCTGTTTATACATCCCTTTTCCTCATCCAGGCACAGAGAGCAGATGTGCCATGTATTGGTGCTGCAGACTGAGCTGTGGTAACATTAGCGTGTGGTCAGCTGAGGGTTGGAGGTGGTAATGACCCTGCGGATTACAGCAGCCATCAGTCATTTAGCCATTAAGCCATGTTGGCTTGTCACCCGCCATAGAAGTCAGAGCAGAGCAACAGTATATACACAATTGTTTATATACACTCATATATTACTATGGTTGCATGAGCCCAACTACACAAGCACATACATATGTGTAATTCTGCATACACAAATGTTTTTTAGTTTCTGCGTGTGGTGCAACTTTGTTACCCCCCCCTTCTTCTGTGGAGTTTGTTGGCCCTGCCAGCCAGACATACATGGAAACTTGACACCAGTCCTTCACAGACGCACAGAGCTTCACATCTTTGCCAGCTGCACAAGGCTCAACCAGAAATACATACCCAATACAACACTGACAGTATTTCCTGTTATTCTCAGTGCTGTTTAGTTGTCCCAAAGCAAAGTACAGTATGTGGTTGGATTGCAACCATTACCATTAAATATGCCAATTAAAGTCCATAATATGTCAGACAATTGTAAAATAGACAATCACAGTCTCAAACATTACATTTTCCAGAGATAAAACATTCCAATGACTGACCAAACAGTTCATAAACCCACAGATGTTAATATTGAATCATAGAACAAAACCAGCAGAAATTCAGAAACCTGAAATCGAAAAATGCTGTGTGATTTAGTGATACGTTTATTACAAAAATAGTTATTTTGATGTAATAGTTATCTGTCGAACTGATACTGCAATCCAAAAGTTGCACAAAAAGCCTTTATGTTTCCTTTGATAAAACGTGTTCATGGTCTTAAATGATCTCTTTTTTGTCATCTCTTTCCTCCATTGCCCTCCAGGTCTCTCCATGGCAACGAAATCTCCGAGCTTCCTGATGGCATCTTTAACGATGTGGCCTCACTTTCACACTTGTAAGTAGTGACACACACACACACACACACACACACACACACCGAGGGGGTCTGGTCAGACAGCCGGGGAGCGTGGCTCACAGTAGTCTGTCTGTAGTCCTCTTTGGTGGGCTTCACATGAGCCAGACCCTCCCTTCATCAGCCGCAGTCCTGTGGTTAAAGAAACACACAGACCCCTGTACTGTCTCATCTCCCTGTGACATCTCTGAAACACACACACCCGTTCACTAACACACACACACACATGCACAGACAGATTCTCCATGGTCCGTGGACCTTAGTGTTTGTTTTGGTTTGCTTATTTATGTCTGTAATTTTGTGTGTGGTGTGTAGCTGTGTGGTTTTGCATGTACTCGTGGACATGTGTAAAACTACACAGAGGTATCTTTGCAGTGTGCCCTCCTCTGCCATCCAGCCTACATATTCACATCATCCCCTGAGAGACACTGATCAATAGACCTATCAGTGTCAGGAGGAAGAAGGGAGGATGCAGAGAGCTAAACAAAGACATTTTTTTAGGAGGGCAGGAGTAAAGGCTGCATTAAAACGGGCTGAAGGGAGGGATGGAGGGCAGCCATTGATCCACAGTCACAGTCAAGTGGCTTTCATGTTAGCAGATGTCAGGTGTCAGCTATTGGCGCGGCCTGAAAGATGAGCCTGTGTTCCACCGTAATGGAACAGCATCGATTCAGGAGTGTTTGTGCATCTAGCGGGAGGACAGAGCAGCATTGATTCACGACCACCATGACAGAAGTGGTTAAGAGTGCCTTCTGTTTGCACCTTTGCCTATAATTAAGAAGCCCACCTCAATATAATGTATGTCACAGATTGGCATTGAGCATCACACTTTAAATCTGTTTTATTCTTAGAGAAGCAGCGTTTTAGTTGTATGATACAAAAAGTTGAGTTGGTTTGTTTTGTGTAAGGTTGTAGAGACACCTGCTGGTGATAGAGTGTATTACAGTAACATCATATGGGGGTGAAAATAAATTAAAAAATCCGTTATTCCTCCCACAACAGGGACATTTAAAATGTTACAGCAAAAGGACAGTGCAGCCAAAAGGCACAAATAAGAAGGACGAGAGTAGTAGAGTGACATTTTAAATCAAGCAAGCAAACATAAATTAAGAAAAATCAAAGAGGTACACATCCATGGTATCAAAATAGGTAGCAGCATTTTTTTTAATTAACATACTGTATAACAGTAATGAGGCAGCAGTAAATGACAATATTAAGAGTGTAAAAAAAGTGTATATTGTATATAGCAGAGTCATCAGTAGTGTAACATAAGTAAATACTAAACATTATATATTGCACATAGTAGTGTTATTGTTACAGTCTGTGTTGTGTGGTGGTCTTCCAGGCTGCAGAACCACATTATCAAAGCATTGATCCGTTTCTTTTTTCTCCTTTATTAGGGCAATTGGAGCCAACCCCTTGCACTGTGACTGTCGCCTGCGCTGGCTGTCTGACTGGGTGAAGACCAGCTACAAAGAGCCTGGCATCGCCCGCTGCGCTGGTCCTCTGGGCATGGAGGGCAAACTGCTGCTCACTACACCTGCTAAGAAGTTTGAATGTACAGGTGGGTTATTGTGTTGGAAACTGAAATATAATGTTAGCAGCACTAGAATCAACATGCAATGAATTTGTATTGGTCTGGCATTTCCTTCAGGTGATGCGGACACTACAGTGCTGTCCAAGTGTAACCCCTGTGTGTCCAGTCCCTGTCTCAACCAAGGCATCTGTCACAGCGACATGGTGGAGGTCTACAGGTGCAGCTGTCCTCCAGGTTTTAAGGTAAAAGCTACATAATGCCCATCTGTGGACATCCTTAATGTGTTGTAGGTCCCAACGTATGCATAATGTAAATCTAAGTAATGATGAACATTATCTCTGTTCTGTCTCAGGGTAAGAACTGTGAGTCAGCTCTGAGCGCCTGTGTGAGTAACCCCTGTGCCAACGGAGGAACCTGCCAAGTGGTTGAAGAGGCCGAGGGAGTATACAGGTGAGGAAGGGAGCTTTGTAAATATACTCATCAGAAGAAACTTTAGACCATAACGTAATGAGTTTGTATGTTTTTTGCAGTTGCACATGTCCTCTGGGCTTTGAGGGCCCCATTTGCCAAACCAACAATGATGACTGCGATGACAACGACTGTGAGAACGGAGCGACCTGCCTCGATGGAATCAACAACTACACTTGTTTTTGTCCCCCCTACTACACAGGTTAGTGCGGGCAGGACAGTTTGTTCAAGACGCAACTGCATTGCAGAAGAAAAAAACCTGTACATAGAAGCAAATGTATTTTCTATTGAAAATGTGTGTAAAACTAAAAAATCTGGCAGTAAAAAAAGATTTCTTTAAATATAATACATATATAGCTACACAATAAGCTACTGCTAACAACAACTTGCCTCAAGCAATGAAATAAAGAAATTAAAGAAGATTAATAATAAATGTTATTAAATACATTGCCTTTTAACTACATACTATTTAGATAGAAATACATGGTTATACTTCTTGAAGGGTAAAAATTTAAATAATATATATTTGCAGTTTCTTTGTTTAAAAGGAAAATGAAAAACTAAAATAGTAATAGAAAGTTGAATGTTGCAGGTTTAATAATTGAATGCATACAGTGAATGACAAGACTATTTGTTATGGATTATAATTTTCTTTTATTAATAGTGATGAAATAAGGAATTACTGATTCACTGTCTATTTTTGATTGTATTTGTTGTTGTGTAGGGGAGATGTGTGAAGAAGTGGAGGATGTGTGTGCCCCTGGACGAAGCCCCTGCCAACATCAGTCTACCTGCCTCATCACCTCCAGTGGGCCCAAGTAAGTGCCAGCCATTAGAATCAGCAATATATGAAAAAACATAAAGACTAGGGGGTAGCTTTTCGTTGATTGCAGTATTGTCTGTGTGTTGCAGGTGTGTGTGCTCTCCTGGTTATGTTGGTGACGACTGCAGTGTAGACTACAATGACTGTGAGGAGCATCGCTGCCAGAATGGAGCTCAGTGTGTGGATGAGCTGAATGGATACTCCTGTGAATGTCTTGAAGGATACAAGTAAGAGAAGCATCAATAAAAATATGCTTTAACTTCATAGTTTGCTTTACTAACGTCATCCTTCCTCTCTATAGTGGTCAGCTGTGTGAGGTCGCCCCGTCTCCACTGTCCCTGTGTGAGCTGGCCGACTGCCAGAACGCCGCCAAGTGTGTGGAGCGAGGCGGGCGGGCCCTCTGCCAGTGTCCTCCTGAGTTTGGGGGGCCACGCTGCGAGAAACTTGTCAGCGTCAACTTTATTGACAGAGACTCCTACCTGCTGCTGTCTGACCTCAAGAACTGGCCACAAGCTAACATCACCTTACAGGTATCCACAGAGTGTTCATGTGGGAGCGTGTCTGTGATTCTTCTGTTTTGATGCTGCTTATCTGAACCATGAGGAACTGAAACACCCATTGCTCATTTTCTCTGCATAGGTGTCAACAGCTGAGGATAATGGCATCCTGCTGTACAATGGAGAAGATGATCATATTGCTGTGGAGCTCTACCAAGGTCATGTCAAAGTCAGCTATGACCCAGGCAGCCAGCCAGGACATGCCATCTACAGGTGAGTTTCCTTTTAGACACTGCAGGTTACTTTCACTGTACGTTGATGTTGTATTTGTTATTATCTCTAGTGGCTATATCTGATGTCAAACCTCTGTTTTCCTCTACCAGTACTGAGACTATCAACGATGGCCAGTTTCACACAGTGGAGTTGGTGACCTTTGACCAGATGATGAACCTGTCCATTGACGGGGGTCTCCCTACCACAATGGACAGCTTCGGGGCGGTGCGGCCACTCAACGGGGAGGCTCCACTATACGTGGGGGGTAGGGGCCCTCTCCAGAACACACCTCCCTCCTCTGCAGGCACTCTTAACTACTACACTACTGTCAATCACCTCCCCTCCCCCCTCGCTTTGTCTCCACCGCAACCAACCCCTCCCCTCTACCCCTTTCCTACCTCCACCCAAATCCAACCCCTCTCCTCCATCAACACCTTCAGTCAGGACTGTGTTTGCTAGGTCACATAATGTATTAATAACTAAAACATTTCAAGATAAAACATAACTTTCAAATAGCAGATCATAGCCCATGAACAAACAATACACCACTTTATAATCCAATAGTTGTGATACCGTTACAGTTCATTTCTTACATTGGGTCAAGAACGCCCTCTAGTGATTACCATAGGAACTACCAGACACAGTCTCAACTTCAGATTTTTCCGTTATTGCATGAATGTAATTCCACAAAATGTTACTGTGTTTATTTGTAATGCGTGATTAAGCAACTCTTGACATTTGAAGAATTTGTTGATTAATTCAAAAAAGAAAAGCCTTTCTGAAATGTGTTGTCGTGCCCCCCCAGCTTTAGGGGTTGACATTTAGCGGCTCAGAAAACGTTCAGTGTGTTTCAGTGCTGTGTTGTGCTGTCCTGTTCTTCGTTCATACAACACTACAGAAGTCATTTTCCCATACCATTTTTCTTTTTGCTGTCAATTGTTTCAAGGATGAAGTGTCTTGTGGTGCAAATGCAAACTATCAAAGCCAATCTAAAAACAGAGTTGCATATAGATTTGACATCATTGTTTACGCACTGTTGGGATACCCATGTTTGAAATACATTCCTCCATTATCTCATACCAGCCCTGTGTTAGTTGTCTGTGTTGGTGACCCAGTATGCACGTCTTCACATCTTTTAACATCTTCTCTTTCCTCTCTCCTCCTCCTCCTCCTCCAGGCATGCCGGTGGATGTACATTCAGGCGTTTTCCGTCTCTGGCAGCTCCAGAACGGCTCCAGTTTCCATGGCTGTATCCAGAACCTGTACATCAACAATGAGCTCCAGGACTTCACCAAGACCCAGATGAAGCCTGGCGTGGTCCCCGGCTGCGAGCCCTGCAAGAAGATCTACTGCGTGCACGGCATCTGCCAGCCTGACGGGGTTCAGGGCCCGGTGTGCCACTGCCAGCCGGGCTGGAGCGGGCAGCAGTGTGACGAGCCGGTGCTCAACCCCTGCCAGGGCAGCAAGTAAGCTAGCTAAGAGGGTTGAAATTAAAGTAAAACATATTAGAATAAAACTAATGTAAAAATACTTTCTTCCGAGTAACATTCCTGATTTAAAATCCTGTTTTAGTAAAAGTATCATCAGCAAAATGTTCTAAATGTTTAAAAAGTATATATATATATAGATAACATTATAAGTTTGTTGGTACTAAGGCAACAACTTATAAGTGGCATTTTACTGCTGTTGCTAAGGTTACTTTTAAACAATTCCACAACCAAAAGCTTGGGCCCCCTACAAGGTGAATCAGAGGGATCAACATACCACTTCTTGTTTGTTTTTTTAACAGAAAAATAAGTCAATAGTTATTTTTAATGAGCAGGAAATATAATCGAGGTTATTTTTGTCTTACTAGGTGCGTCCATGGAAAGTGCATCCCACTGGACACTCAGTCGTATCGCTGCGAGTGTGAGGAGGGTTACCGCGGCGCCCTGTGTAACCAGCAGGGGGAGCTGTTCAACCCCTGCCGACGCCTGACCTGCAAACACGGTCGCTGCCAGATCTCAGACACAGGAGACGCCTTCTGCCACTGTGAGAGTGGCTACACCGGGGAACTCTGTGATGCAGGTGGGTTGTCATTCTGTACGTGAATGATGTGAAATGGGCAAAGCTAATATATTATTTTAAAGGTCATCCATTATGCTATATTTGAAGAATATATTATAGGGCCATATCTGTACAAAACACCAAACAGATCACCCATTGCAGACATGCCTCATACCCCTCTATTTCAGCCCTGTTACAAAAGGGGGGTTTACCACAAGGTGAGTTCCTTTTACATCCGCCTTCTTCACACATGCTCTCTCCAGTACAGGTTAGCTCTGAGTGTTAGCGATGCTTGCTAATGTAAACACAGACAATATTACTTCCAAAACACGTTGCGCATTGTTTCTGATAGCGACGTTTCTGATAGGGCCATGGGTGCAAAGCCAGCCCACATTTTAGTAATGTCGTCATGACCACAGCAAATCTGGATCAGCTCCATAATGTACCCCCGTTTTTAGAGATGTGGGTAAGGAGGAAAAGAGAGAGGGTTGTATTTTCTGACACTTTGTGAGTCTCCTGACACAACGGGGACACATATTTATGTATAAAAGACATTAAAAAGTGCATTTTGCATAATAGGTGTGTGAAGCTGACAAATGAGCGGCCCGACCAAAGTAAGGAGGCAGAGGCAGAACGTCCAAATACAACCCGGTGTGGGCATTTATTAATCATGGGCACATGATTAACAGTCGTATTTAACAGCATCAATCATCCATATGACTGTCTCCAGCACTATCCCCCCGACATTAAGGATTAATATGTGTTTCTCATACTGACGTCAACCATTCAATAAACGGGTTTGAACGCCACACAAGCTCTTGTCATCTTTTATAAATCAAATGCTTCCTGTGAAATGTTTTACCGTGGAACAAATTAATATGCTTCGCCAATAGTGAAGCTATATAATACGTAACGGAGACCGTGATCTACGGCCCCAGAGATCACCTCCGTTACAAGGTGACCTTTAAAAGATCAAGGAATTTCTTTATTTGACTTCAGTATTCCTGTGTATACTCTGATAACATACTAATGTCTGTGACTGTTCTTCCTGTTTCCAGAGTCTGAATGCCGAGGGGATCCTGTGCGAGACTTCTACCAGGTCCAGCGAGGCTACGCCATCTGCCAGACGACACGCATGGTCTCTTGGGTGGAGTGCGCCGGAGCGTGCGACACCGGGGCCTGCTGCGCCAGCCAGCGAATGAAACGCCGGAAATACACCTTTGAATGCAGCGATGGAACCTCCTTCAGCGAGGAAGTGGAAAAGACCATCAAGTGCGGCTGCGTGGGCTGCATGTAGCACCATTCACTCACATTTCCTGCCGCTGCCGCCGAGCAGAAGATAGAAAGAGAGAAAGAAGGGATAGAAGTAGGAAGAGAGAGGACTGGAGGAAAGAGAGGGAGGGAAAGAAAGAGAGAGTATAAAGAATATATATAAAACCTCTATCTATATATTATGGACAACAATGTTTGTAAAATAGGACATTTCCTCCCCTTACAAGGGTGTGTGACCTACAGTAACACAGAGAAACCAACATCATGAGCGACAATGTAGATGTGACAACAACGGCAACAGAACCATTGTATCTGTAACATTGTTCCAAAGGGGTCCAGAGATTTCAAAAGAGTTGCATTCAGAGTGAAGCATCCCTCCAACCCAAATTAACCGGTGTGAATTCCCCATCCATCCGTGAGGCCTCTGACAGCCTAACCACCATCCACCATCTTAACCTCGTGGAGGCAGTGAGGACAGCGGGGTCCAGCCTGGCCAAGAATGGCAGAAGGAAGGCAGAGAAAGACACACAGAGAGACACAGGAGAAGAGACTTTGACTTGGCAAAGCTATCTTGAGTTGAGCTTGGCTGGGTTACCCGGACTGGGCTGGATATGGTTTGGGTTGAGTTAAGGTCGTTGTTGGTTTGGTGTAGCAATTTCTCTGCCAGGAAACAGTCATCCATCCACACATGCACATGTAGAAGTGAACAATGGAAAGGAAGGGTTAGAGTGGCACATAATCCGGTGCGGATGTCGTGGCTTCGAGGCCCGGTGGCGTCCCAGATGTTCGCTGTGAGGTACCGTAATGTAGAAACTCCATAAAAATAGAGACTGCACTGACTAGCAGCACTGAAAATGACATACACCTCTCTGAAGTACATCATCACACGCATGGCATACATTCATTTACACAGTCTTAAAAAAAAAGCGAGAGGGCTTGTGTGGTAAAACTATCTATTCTGTTCGTACAGCAAACCAATCTGGTGCTGGCAGGGACCAGTGGTTATCAATCCCCCAGCATGCATTGCCTCAGGGTTAGGATGATTTGCATAATCCCACGCCCTCAGAGCAGGACGCTGCTCCTATCGATGCCTGCAGTATTAAACTTGTGCAAACAGTTGCATGTGTGGAGAAGAGTTTGCCAACAAATATGTAGAGCTCCTTAATATCGTTATAAATGTTATTACAAAACAAAAGTTTGCAGAATCATCTTCTGATTTCTGTTTTGTTCTGTCTAATTTCTCATATTGATATGTTTTTATTTTTGTTATATTTTGTTATATTTTGTCTCATGATATAACCTAACTCCTTTAGCTGCCCCCCACCCTCCTCAACAACTCTTTATATAGAAATGCCTAACAGATTCTAATATATATATATTTGTATTTCATTTTGGTATAGTATTTTTCTATGTTAAAGAGTAAGTCTGTTTCTGGAAGCTTTGGGACTGGTGGAAAGGCATTCAGTTGGTTCCCTAGGTGTTTTTATTTGTTGATCACACTCGCTCCAACAAGGTTATTAATTACATGAATTGGCCACAAATACAGCAGCTGGTTGGCCTTGTTGTATAGAAGGCAGTATTGGTCTAGAAATGTGTGTAATATTGTATATGTTGTCTTCCATGTGAATATTACATCTAATTCATGAAAGTCTGTGCTTGTTTTTATTTATTTTATCTAAAGGCGTTTTCTGTAGAAAGTAAAGGGCATACATGTTGCTGACTTTCAGATATTTTAAAACATTTCAAAAAGATGAAAAAAGGTAAAATAATGAATAAAAATAGCATAAACATCTGTAAGGTATTTGTAACATCACTTAATAGCAAGTTACAGCAGTGTTTTCCTCCTCTCTGGCTCAACATTCCTCATTCGCTGCAGGAGCTGGAGAGGGCCGAGCCGGGATCCAGAGACCTCCCCCTCAAATTGACCTTGTAATTACCATACCACGCTAAAAGGCTTCTGATTGTTTTCATGTCCATTTTGTTGAAGTGTCCTGTTGTATTTCTATCATTTTCAATTGAGATATGTTTGCCATAGAGGTGTTTTTAGTTCAGTAGTCAAGCTCAACTGATCATAAGCTGCTGTCAAGCCACAAAAAAAGGATGAAATGCTTCTGAGGACGACGATCATGTTAGGCTTCATCATTCGAGATCTGTCTGAATAGGCGACCGTGGGGAGCATTACATGCCTACTACTGACAGATCATAAATGAGAAAGGTCTGGACATTTCAATGTTTGTCGGTTCTAGCTGGCTATCCACACAAAAAAGTAATAAATGGTGCCAATTACAGTGAACACAACAGTCATACCTGAATGTATAAATGTGTATAGATAAATATGACCTATGCTTATTCATGAAGTGGTAACTTTTAGCTGTTATTTAGTTTCCAATGTAAGATATAGAAATCACATACTGTTTAATAAGTAACAGTCCATCAGGATGGCTTAAGGCATTGTTCTTCCTGCAGATTTGGATTGTGTTCATCCATTTTGCCGATCTAAATGTTTAAAGTCTCTTTATAGTGTGAAAAGCTGCAGAGCCAGATCTCAGCTTGGTACATTGCACACAGAGCTTCTATTCATATTGCTACCCATGTTAACTTTGTTTTACATGCTGTTGATGTGATCCAAGTGTTGTACAATAACTTTAATAGAAGATCTCGTAAAGGATTCTTGTGAACAGTCACTGTAACTCTTAGGCGGTGTGCCTCGTAAAGGCGCATATTTAGTTGAACGTGGCTTTCTTTTCATGTCTCCTTTCCTTCCTCTGCACTGATCTATACTGGACTGGTGCATTCAACTTTCTGGTAGACATCTTAGTGGTGCTTGTGCTATATTGAGATGTAATTCAGTTATCTGGTCACATACCAGAAACACATATTTTTCATCCTATGAACTATATACATAAATATGTTATTGTAAACGACACGATGTCTCTGTTGTATTGAAATGGTGCAAACACTAAAAAATATCCCTCGTTGGGTTCTGTCTATTTGCTTTTTGTTACAGGATAGATGGTGGGATTAAGCTGAAAAAATCCCAATATTGCTGAATGTATGTAGTGCCACCGACAAAATGTTTACCAAACCTCCACTCTTTTTCATTAATTAAACTTAAATGTGTGTGCTTTTAAGAATGTCTTGTCTTTTGTTTTAATTCATGTGTTCTTTGTTTTTTGACACAATTTAAAAAACAAACTTTGATAAGCCAACATAGATAATTAATCCTTATAGGGCTCAGAAAAATCTGAAATATGGGCAAACGCCTGACGTTACATAATGATGATTGACAAAAAAACAGCAACGATGGTTTGTTATGTCACGAAAAATGCCAAGCATGCCATTTAAATGTCAAAGTATTATAGAGTTGTATGCCATTAAAGTGTCATAGTATGGTATGTCACAAAAAAATCTATGAAAAATGTCATAATTTAGTTGATCAGACATTTCGTCAACAGTCGTACAAAAGTTGCTCATAAAAATTGCAAAGATATAGTAAAACATTTAAATTTAAAGAAATTGTAAAAAAGTCATACACATATTTAGTATGTGATCTAAATATAAAAAATGTCATAATATAGTTTATTATTAAAAAAGGCATACGTCAATATATATTAAAAGGGATTGCAGATCACTTACAATATACCTGTTTTTTCTATCCACTTGTCAGAGAGGTATCACAGTCTGAAACTTAAAAACCTTAATATATCTAACCAATTAAGAGGCTTGATTTACAGAGAAGTCTATTCATGGGGAATGAAATATCTGTTCACACTATGGGCTCACTGTAGGTTCGAGAGAGTGAGCCACAAAGGGTCACTGAACAGTCACAGCCTTAAGTGGACGCACCCTGACCTCAGCAGTGACAGTGTAGCTTAGTGGCTTCACATAGCACAAGTATCTGTCTCAGTGGGGCTCTGTCTGAAGGGCTACCAGTGGACAAGTGTCGTGCCCGAGATGATAACATCCAACAGCTCGGCTCAGTTCAGATACACTCACAGGCTCAGTTCGTCGGCCATAAGTAATAAGAAGAGAAAAATAGTTTTTAAGTGTTTAAAAGAAAAGATTTTGATTCTGTTGGATATAGAAACTTTGGATTTCACTGTTAAAAAGATATATGAATTACACATTTCCTAATGTCATTTTGGAGCTATGTTGTTCCCTCAGTTTTCTGCAGGGCCTGAAGTGACGGAGGCCAACTGTTAACCAATCTGTGCCACAGTGGGAGCTTCCTGTGGTGTTCAGGACTCTGCCCCTGAGCCGTATGGCAGGGCACCGCAGTGTGAAATGCCTTCATTGGCTACCACAAGTGATTTAACGAAGATGAAAAACTGCTAAGTCCTTCAGGAGCACTGATGTCTCCGCCTAGTTGTCATAAAGGGTGATGAATATTAGAGTGGCAGGGTTTTAACTGGTCATAATGCGTCAACTTAGGCAATTTAAAGGTCACCTATTGTGCAAAATCCACTTTTTCATGTCTTTTATACATAAACATGTGTCCCCTCTATGTAAAGAGATTCTGAAAGTTTCAGGAAAAAAGATTTGCTCACTTTTCGTCCTGATCCATTTATATAAAAACCTGTCTGAAAATGAGCTGATCAGATTTTGGCCACTTTATGATGTCATAACGATTTTTTTGGCTTGTGTAACCATTAGCCAATCACCAACCAAGGTAACACCCCCCCCCCCACCGTATCAGCTGAATCTCCTCCTAGAGCACCATTGTGTTCTTTTTAACCAAATATCTCTCAGAGGGGCGTGGGGAGTGGCTCCTTATTTTCTTCTAAAGTAACAGACAGAGAATCAGCACTTTTGAAACAGGGCTGAAACAGAGGGGATTATGGGATGCTACAATGCATGATCTGTTTGGTGTTTGGAGCCAAACACTTCAGAGACCTGTTTTGTATATATCTGAGACCTATACAATATTGATGAAAAACAGTATAATAGGGGACCTTTAAGATTTTCAAACAATGCCTGAGACTCTTCAACTGGAACAGTCCCACAGTGGGTAAGAGGGGGTGAGACAGTTGTCTTTCAGAACAGCTATAAGACTCTTAATAACAACCTAGTTTATTTCAAGCAAATGGAGCACTAAAGTTTTCACTTTGCCACTTTCTTCACTTCATTCAAGTTTGGTTAAATAACATTTAAAACACTTGAGCCAAAAAACCAAGATAAAATTCCAACATCTTTATATCAACTCCAGCAAAAATACAAAATTCTTAACATAAAGATGTATCTTTCTTGGGATTACCACAAATAAAGCAGTCATTTCTTTCTAATATACAAAATCAAAATCTTTAAATAGCAACTGTAAAGAATAAACATGTTCAAGTCCGATATTTGGTGGGCTGTTATAGATTAGCTGACAAGGAGTTAAATAACAATAAAAACATGTGTTTGCATTTACAGACAATTTACCTTCTAAGAGAAATGAACATAAAAAATAACACTGTGCTAAAAATGACAATACACTAATGAAATGTACTACTGTAGAAGTTAAGAAACTTCACATGATGAGAACATCTGCCTGACAATAATAAAACATAAAACTGCAACATACATACATTGGATAAACAGCTCAGAAGTGTGACTAAGACTAGCCAAATATGTCATATCCAAACTTGTAAAATCAGGGAAGGAATGAATCACCCTATAGTGTGCCATTAATGCTAAATAGGCCATAACGTCATTCATATTTACCAACCAAATATACATTTGTAGGCCTTTGTTAGGAAACATCGTTGCCAAAGTACATAGGCCAGTATCCCAAAGTCATCTCAGATTTTTCAGTACAGCATTTTGACTTTTAATTGTGCATACAAAGTCTTGAATGAGGTTAGTATTTTTCGAAGTTCAAGGGTATAAAGATAGGTATGGGTTTGAGCTCTAGGAAGTCAATAGCTATAATGCAAGAGTTGCTGTCTGCACATTACCAAGACCTAACACATGCAGAAGCAGGTCAAATACTTAATGGGATGTTGAGTAGATAACAAAGGGTGCAATGGTCGATAGGGATGAAAAACCACCGCAAACATAACAAATGTTTTTCATGACACATACAGAGCACGTCTGTCTGTTTAACAATTGAGACTCTTATTTGCTTTAACATCTAACACCTAAAGTAAGAACGATATTAAGTTAATGCTCTGGGACAAAAATAGTCATATAAAAATAAACCTTAATGCCCAACATAAGAATGTAGAGATGACACACGCGGCATAAACTGTGAAACCTAACCTCTTTACACACTCTGAAGCTAGTTAATGCAGACAGCCTCTCCATGAATTGAACGTTTGTATAGCTAAAAGGACAGGAGTTTTCACATTTAGCAACAGATTCGATTTGTTTACACTTTATAAATAAGGCACCGGGTCACAACAGTCACATATTCACAATGTTGTGTTTAGAAGACAAGCTGGAGAAACTAACTGCCTACTTACCGTCAGTAAAATCTTATACAAAACATGACCTCCCTTCTCATAGCAAGCACTCAATGCAGTGTATGCTATCATCTAAAACAATAACTATTTACAAAATGGCAAAAGAAAAGTAACGAAACAGGGCGCTGAGTGAACGTAAATGTCACTTCGATATCGGCATCAGATGTTTGATGTTTATCCCAACTTTTAAAATAAGGTGTTATAATGTTATCTGTAGCCTTGTCTTGGGTAGCTGGAACAGAAACTTCATCTATGACACCTCATGTAGGACTTGTGTGTAGCCTTAAACTCAGAGCAAACACTCAGCAAATATCACATTTGTTTTTTCACACTTTACAAAAGCCTAAATTACTTTCAAAATGTCTTCCTTCTTCACATATTTGCCAACTGAACAAGGTGTCCTGTGAAGGGGTGTCATGAGAGTAGAACATATATATATATATTTCAGAATCCCCTTACTAAAGATTGTCCTTCTCTGCAGGTGCACTTTCATTTAGAGAGCGATGTCCTGGTGCGTTTTGCGGGCGTCTTTAAAGGCTCCCGAGCTCTCTTGGTTGCGGATTTTGTCACACTGCGTGGCAACACAGCCGTCTGCCTTCCTTTCGCCCCTCTTCTCATCAGCATGGGTCTCTCTGATTTCTTGACTGCTTTAGAAGATGCATTTTGTGTTTTCATGGACTTTGCGGCCTTCTTTGCAGCTTGACTAGGGCCCCCACTCAAGGGGACTGCTACCTCCATTTTCCTCTGGGACCTTGTTAGTACCTGGTCAGGTGAGGTCGGAGCCTTGCCGTCCACACTTGGCCGTGGCGTTTCATCAGCCTTCTCGGCTCCTTTGATTACAGCGACAGTACTTTGTGACGTTTCCTTTGCGAGCGTTTTGCTAGGACTCACTTTATTTAGAGGTGCTTTTTCAACATCGACTCTCTCTGCTTCAGTTTGCTTTTTATTGTCGGCCTTGCTTTTCGATTTGTCGCCCGGGTTATGTCCAGATACTTTAGGAGACCCTAGTCGTTGAGAAGATCTCTTTGGCATTTTGACTTTTTTAGTTGCATCTCTTGAAGCTCTGCTGCTGCCCTGAGCCTTGACCGCCCTCTGTTGAACAGGAGGCTTTGTAGTTTTTCTACCAGCCAATGTTTTCCTTCGTTCCATCTTTGCAGCAGATGCTTTCATTTTTTTCCCGACAGGTAGGGCTGATCTTTGTGCCTTCGTAGATGGTTTCACATTTGACTTGGCGGCCGACTTTTTAGTGTCCAGTTTTTTCATATTGTTGTTTTTTAAGGTTTTTGAGGCCTCTTTGAGTCTAACATTGGTTTGCTGAACCTGCATCTTCTCTCTGATATTAGAGTATTTCTTCAGGATCCTTGCGCTAGCTGGATTCTTTGATTTACCAGAGGCTTTCTGGGATTCACCCTGGGCACAGGCTTTGGCAGTCTGAGTAGAACTGGGCAGTTCTCCTCTCTCTTTCACTTTGACTGCATTTGCCTCCAGGGCTCTAGCAATAAGTTTCTGACTCTTGGGGTTGCTCTTTACAGGAGAGGCGATGGCAAACTTCTTCAAATGTTTCTTCAAGCGCTCGGCCTGTAGGCTTGGAAATATTCCCTGAGAGGCCCCTGAAGAACTAGCACTGTGGAAGCACAGCTGAGTTTCTGACGGAAGACGTGTATTTACCTTCTTGACAATGACGAGGGACTTTGTTTCTGTTGTTTCGAGGTACCAGTGACAGATACTGGAGAGATTAAAACCTTTCACGAAGAGCATTTGGAAAGGCGAGTATTTCTGGTGATCTGAAGACTTTGATTTCCGCGCCCTGCGCTTACTTTTCCATATGGCTGCCTGCCTGTCTGATTTGTTTTTGTACTTTGTTGCCGGCTGACCCTCTTTGTCCAATTGCACCCAGCCTTTTTGCATTTTATCATACTTAATGTTCAGATTTGTTATTAGGTGTTGGTTTTCTTCACCATTCAAATTTTCAAGGAATCTGTTTGTTTGTTTTGGGGGCTGAGATCTTGGTGTATTGATAGGAAGGGCAGAGCTTTGAGGAAACTCAGGCACAACAGCCACTGAAAGAGGCTTCATCTGAGCTTTGGTTGCTTTTTCTGGGATTATTCTAATAGGGGAAGCTAGGTCAGTCTGTCTTCCAGCTACAGTAGCACTGGTAGAGGGTACAGCTAATCTCTGTGATCTCAAAGCCAATTTCTTGTTATCAACTGGTGATGAATGAGTAATAGTTGGAGGCATCTCAATCTTACTCTCACTCCGTAATGGCATTCTTGCCGGTTTGTCTGAACTGCTCTCATCTCCACTTGCAGACTTGTCTCCTAAAGGTTCTACATTTGACTTCTGCGGCAAAGCAACATCACTTGCTTGTGCCTCCTTTCGGAGAACCCGCTTACTTGTTATTGGCGTAATCTGTGTTGGCATTTCAGTCGTTACAGGGCTTTCAATTTTTAATGGACTTGATACCACAAGTGGCTGTTTCTCATTCTCACTGCTTTCTACTACAGCATTTGTAGACGGTGGTTTCTCGTTGGCCTGCGATGTATTTTCTTCTATGATGTTTTGTATTTCTTCAGGGGTTGTCTCTTCTTGCTGTGAGTTATCAATGTTATCTTCCGCCAGTGTCTCTGGGACTGGGACTGTGTTATCAATGTTATCTTCCGCCAGTGTCTCTGGGACTGGGACTGTGTTATCAATGTTATCTTCCGCCAGTGTCTCTGGGACTGGGACTGTGTTATCAATGTTATCTTCCGCCAGTGTCTCTGGGACTGGGACTGTGTTCTTTTTGGACTGTTCAGGGGAAGATGACTCGATTGGAGGAGGAGAAGTAACAGGAAGCGAAGAAGGGAGGGGTAGGCAGGGAAGGGTCTCTGTAGATGGAAGAGCATGGGTAGCAGTAGGTTTCGGAGATGAAATGGCAGCCTTAGATTCGGGCGGTGAAACTGGAGTTCCTTTCGATCTAAGTTGTCGCTGCTCGGACAGTACAGACAAACCATCCTTATCTCTTTTTTGTTTCCGGGTTAATTTGGTCTTGGGGGGAAATGTAGATGTTGGACTCGATGGTGGGGCAGAAGACGGTTCCTTATCTTTCTGAATCTCAGGAGTAGTATCAATAGATTTCACAGCTATGTCTGTTTCAGCTAGATGCTCCTCTGAATGTTTGTTTTCAACAGCTGAATCAACCAAAGTCTTGATGTCGACATTCTGACTAGTTTTAACTGGGGTTTTAGTAGGAGATGTGGCGTTATTTGATCTACGCCGCAGACTTCTATCAGAGGCCGATATGGGTCTACCATTGACAAAACCCACGACCACAGCGTCTGCTTCTCTTATCAGCTTTGACGGTGATGCTGCAGTACCCTTTTTTCTACGCCAAGGGGGCAATTCCTTCGAGAGCGCGTCAAGTGACTTTGTGGACACGTCTTCGTCATTATCACCTTCAGTCTCTAAAGGCACTACACAGTCAGTTGCTTCAGATGTATTCATTTCTAGCTCCTTGTCTACTGGCTCCGCTGCCAAATCAGTGATGTTGGACTTTTCTATCACGTTGAAGTTGTCATTGTGTTTCTCTGTCTCCGGTTGAAGATCCTGACTTTTCTCATCTTGTATTTCTTCCCCTTTATTTTCGTTTATTTCTTCCTCAACTTGAGCCACTGGTGATGGGGCACTAATCTGCTTGAGAACGGGCTCACTGTTGTGCAGTCCATCTAATGAAAGTTGGGGCTCATCTTCATTTGTGATATTATCCTCTAATGGCCCCACTACTGTTTCGGTGGCTATTTGCTCAGGACTTTCATGCATGTCCTCTTGAGGCTCATGCTCGTTAAAAGGTTCTGCTTCAAATGGAGCCTGAGAAACAAGTTTTTCAATTCCTGTTGTCTCCACTGAATCTGCACTTGTGTCCATTTCTACATCTGTGTTCATATTCATTTCTATGTTTTCTTTTGGGGACCTCATCAGAGAGGAAGGGACCAACTGCTCTTTGCTCTGACACCTATCTGTCTGACTATGTTCTACTATTACGTCTTCTTCACTGGCTGCTACCTCCACCATATCTCCTGTTCCTGGTATCACACTCTCATTGGACACTTCTCTGGACATTTGCTGACTCATTGTCTCTCTACCTGCTCCAGCAAAAGGCATATCTACATATGGTACACCTTCAGGCTTTGAAAGCATTTGTTTTGGGGTGACCAAGGTGATCATATCTGGCATTGGATTGGGACAGTTGCCCCTCCCCGCCAATGTACGGACAGTTTTCAACTCCCAGATTTCATCTGAATACAAATGTCCTCTGGTGCTTTTCCTGGCATTGCGGCGAGGAAGCATGCCACGCCGCTGTTCCTTAAAACATTCCGTTATTGGTTTGTCAATAAAAACAATGTCACAGAGGCCAAGATCAGGGTCAGTCAATGCTTTACAAGTTGAGTCCCTAATCCCATGATCAGAGGACGACCTGACGGTCTTCCTGGCAGTCCGCGGAGAGTCGGAAGGAATGCTCATGTGGAGTGAAAACAAGTTTGCTTGTTTATCTTTGGCATGCCCAAGACTATCTCTCTGCCTAACATGATGTGCATGACTTGTTTGAGTGTGTCTTTTCATAGAGGAGCTGAGTCTAGCACTCTCTGTTCTGTTAGATGAATTTGAGTTACCCTGTCTGTCCTCCAATGTGTCAGATTGAGATGAAAGAGAGGCGTTGAGCACGCATGACAACTTTTTACCGGCAGCAACATTGCTGGCCATGATTTTCATCTTAAGAGGAGCATGATCACCATGGCGGTTGTTTTCTGAATCCAATGGATTTGCAGTGGGAGTGACCAAAGCTTGGTTGCTCCCTGACCCAGGGGTGCGAAGATCCAAAGCAGGGCCAGTTGATGTTTTCAGCAACACAGCATTGTTTGGAACTTTCCCAATTGCATGGATGCTTGGGATAGAATAGGACATATCCTGGACTTCTGACTTGGGAGTGGATTCACTGGGAAACTTAAGCTCAGGGCATGACTTCTTTGGAGTGAGTTCATTGGATTTTGAAGTGGAACAAGCACTTCCCTGGATCCCAGAGGGAGAGTTAGAAACGTTCTGTGTATTGGAAGACGCCAGTGCTTTGACCTCAGTCTGTAGAAAACCTATAGCATCTACTATCTGTCTCTGATGTTGAGTACAGAGTTTGGCCATGAAGCGTTCCAGCGTGGAGGTCGACTGCAGGTCTGTTGCCTTTGCAATAGGAAAGTCTTGAGACTCCCTGAGGGAAAAAAAAAATACATATGTTATTGCACACGAAGAAGAAGCATTATTGGTTTTATACTATTGATTGGTTTGTGATTATTACACTTATGCAGAGAAATGTTCCTTTGAATCTGTTTTGACCAGTTTACTGGGCAAAAGTTGGAGCTTAATGTTTGTTCCAAATAATTCACAAATAGTACACAATGTTTATCATTGCATATTTATTAGAAGAATAGGTGATTTTAAAAGTGAGCCTTTCATCCAGTGAACATGACCAATTACATTGTTACAGCTATTACATTTTTTTTTTTCTTTGCACAGTGGTGCCTTTTGTTACAGTATACATCAAGAACATCTTACACATGCACAACACATTTAGTAACGGTGGCCCACTTTGATTAAAAGGTCAAACACATGTTTATCACTTGAAAGAGCAAATACATTGGGGGGAAATATAGAGTAGATATTTTTTGTCAATTTTTCATGTATTTAATAACTAGTGCAAAGGGTGACAATTATATATAAGTGCTTAACAACTTAAGACAAATTAACTAGTAAAAGAAAAATCAAGCATGACAAAACAAAGCTAAGTTATTATTTCTAATACCTGGGAGGTTTCGTTTGTGTTGATGCAAATCTAATGTTATCAGTCAACTGGGGGGAGCATGTTTTATATTTGTGGCTAACATTTTTTTCAGTGAGGTAGGTCTATTACAAAATCATCGCGACCTTTGGAGCATCTATATCATTACATTATGCCAAAAATATATTTATAATTCTGAAAAGGTTATTTTCTTTGTAAAAATAAAAAACAAAAAAACAAGTCCTTCTAAAGATACAGTGGTCTTTCAACAAGAACAATAGACAGATAAATGAAACCACATCTGGATTCCTGAGGTGACATGTCACAAGGCTTTGCTGAGTAATGAAAAGGAGACATAGCTTAGCCCACAGCGTGTGCCGCTGAGAGAGAGGTGCTGCAAGATGAATATGTGGTCATCAAAAGCTCTGTTGAGCATTGTCTGATATCTTATGCTCCAAACAAATACTTGCAAACTATTTCTATACAATAATACATTTTGCATTGCCTAATAACATACTAAGAATATTTATTCTTTGACTAAGTAAAGCTGAAACCTATAGCGTTTCACATATCACCCTTAAGCTATAGAGGAGATGGTGGTATATCTAGTGTAAAGCTTGCTATGTAGCCGATACCTAGTATGACACTTCAGCTATAAAGCATAAGTGGCAAAGTGAAATTTAGATTATTAATATTATTGGAGTATTGTCAGTATGTTCGACTAGATGCATAAAGAAACAAAAAGGACAGTGATTTAAAAATAAATATGGATTTCAGCTCCAATTCGCAAATGAAACAATACACCCTTTGAAGAGGGAGGTGTAAATGCTGCAATGCAATATCTGAGAAATATCTTAGGACTTTCTGTAAATATCTTCAGAATGTCTGCATGTTACATTAAGTCTTTTTTTAATTCGATGTGCTGTTTGAGGCACTAAACTTGAAAGAAAAAGTTGAACTAAATAGCCATTGGTCAACATCGCACCTACAGGTAGGTTATATTGACATTCATTGTGTAACAAGTATGAAAAACAATAACACGGAGAAAGATGCACTGAGATTTGTTGGGATCCAAACACAAAGCTGTATGGCATGCCAAATATCTCAAATGTACATTTTTGAAAAATAATTAAGAGATTTAAAAAAATAACATTTGCTGGAACCTGACCAATGTTTTGCTAAGCCCTCTTTAAATCCTGCATGCAAGCTTCTAAGGAGTAAAGTGGAGTACCTGAATAACTTGTGGTAAGTGTTTCATCCCTGAGAGTTTCGCTCTCTGTTTTACTTTGCAATAAAGTAGGGAACTGACACAAAGTACATGCCTTGTTCTTCCAGAGGATTAAAATAACTAAACAAGCAGAAGCAAACATAACTCTTTTCAACAATATTTCAAGCACACAAACATGGAGGTGTTAACTCATCAACAATGTCCATAAATTATCTGGCAGTTAAGCACAACTATATTTTACCACAGGTCCAGTGAGCCATTAACCAGATTTGAACAGGTTTCTGGATATTTAACTTTCACAGTTTATCTACTTGATACATGGTTGACTTGACAGTAAACACACCAACACTCCAGTATTTTCAATAAATCACCCCCAAAGATAAACCGTCACCATATACAACTAACTTCCCACTGACACAAATGATTTAGTCCAATCATGCAAAATATACCCAGTGTCATTCCTGTACAATGTTAATGTTAAATCAAACATAAATATGTACATTTTCTTTTTAAATACAGGGATATTCTCTGCTCTGGACCTTCAGTCCTCAAATATATTTACCAAGCAAAAGTTTCCCAACACAATAAAGCGGGACAATCTTAAATGCTATCCCTTTGCATTTATTATGCAAGACAGTTAAATATATATTTTAAGCATTATCTTCCTATGTCTATTAACACTTCAGTGGACAACCTTTTGTTTGATTAAAGCCATTTACATTCATGGTTACTTAAGTGGTGATAAAATCATTAGTTCATAAATATTGATTAATAAATACTGCATTAACAAAATAACGCCACAGATCAGTTTGTGTAGAAATGCAAGGGGATGTAAACTCTTCCCGCACTATGGAAATAAAAAGGTTTCCCTAAGTCACAACTGTGCGAACAAAACCCGGACCCCAAAAAGGAAAAAGGATTAAGACAACGTAAATATTAAATATATGAGGAGGCAATTAACTACAAGGATACATTGAAATATTTACATACGGTTGAATTCGACAGATATTCTACCGTCCTATATAACTTTTTGAAAGCTTTTTCTGTAAACTATTCGCCTTCACTCAAAGATTTTACAATAAACTGTGTTGTGTACATGAGAAATTGCTACATAAAACAGCTATGAGAACAGTAGACTGTGATATGGGATTTCCAGATGAGGTAGTCGGCCATTAGATTTGCTACAATAGACAATAAAGGAGCAAACTTTTTATTTTGTTACCCGTCAATGAACCCAAAACGCATGTATGCCTTTAACAAATCCATTAAGCATGCGTTTAATACTCGGAATGAGAAAATAAGTGTGGCTTTTGAGTCATGCTGGATGATTGTCAATGCTAAAAAATACAGTTAATGAAAGCGAAACAGCGAGTAGATTTTACCTAAATGGTATTAATCTTACAAGTGTACTTGGAGTGGCTACTCATTTTTTAACCAAGACAAAGTGATCATGACATTTTGTGAGTATGTAAAAAAATATATGCAATTAAGAGCGGTTGATTTGTTAAATGTATCAAAAAGTTTAAACTAAACGTGAGAGGAGATGCAACCCAATTTCAAATAAAGTAATAAAGCCTGCATTAGGAGAAAGTCACGGAGGACATTAAAGAAGTTAGAAGGTGTACCATCTAACAAAGTTATTCCATTGTTACATTGCGATTAACATACAAGTGTGCGAGTCCCTGAACTATGTTACTGCTGAACCAACTCTCACTTCAAAATGTTTACATGTTAAAGTTTATGTTATGTTAGGAGTTAAATGCTTGAGGTGAAATAATCATTTATTTGATCAAAACATCCATTTTCATCCAAGCAACATTTATAATGCTGGAGGAAAAACAAAAGACCAAGATTTTCTCGAGCTGTGCATCGACCTGATAGAAAGAATATTGGGCCATGATCCCATATTCTGGAATGTCCTGAGGTATAAGTGGTAATGCACAATGAGGCGTCCTGATAGAGCAAAGATACCGGGCAAACATTCAATGAAAAGGGCTTTTAAAAGGTTTCCTTAACGTGTTGTACCATTACCATGATACAACACAGAAATACTCTCAAGGAAGTGGTGGAATGAGTGTTAACCCGCACTCTCACCTGGTTCAAGATGAAGAGATTTATTTTCATTGAATGTTTGCCATGGTAACTTCAGCAATAGGGGGATGTGGGTACTGGGTAGAGGCATGACAGCAGCTAACATGTTTGCTAACTTTTCTAGCTAGCAAATGTTAGCAAGCTAGCACAGTCAGTCAGTCAGTGTGTTTGACTCCAGTTGCTAATATTGATGGATAAAAGTTATGTTTTTTATAAAATAATGACTTTATGAGCTAAGAGCTTCTGAAATGACATAACTGCTCCTAGATTTTGACTCTAACATACTTGTTAACATGACGTAAACCTTTTTAAACATATACATTATTGTATTTTAGAGAGTTAAAAGTGAACTGATAACAAGTGTTCAGCTAGTGCGCTATTTTGACTGTGAATAATCAGGTCACTAAAACAGAGTATCATCCCCACAAACCTGATGCATGTTATTAATTGACCCGAGGAGAATTATTTATCATGTGCCGAGTGCGAGCGAGATGTGTACATATGTGCTGTATATGTATAATTGTTTATACATCATAAATAAAAAAGGAACCATTCTGCCCTTCTCCTGTGGAGAAAGACATTCCCAGAGATAATACCTGAAATCTGAAAAAGACAAGCCCTGATTCACAAAGAACTGTGATGCTCTGAAGGCTTACACTGGCACTGAAATGCTACTGAAAACTAGTTAAGGTAGGTTGTGAAGTTATCTGAGAGTAGAACACGCATACTTGTCAGTAAGACATCCTGAAATGTTACCTCAAAAAAGGGGGATTTGGTCATCAACCCCTTTAGAGGTGACTAACATGAGGCAATGCTTCAGTTAAGCTTATCTCTAGCTGAGGTATATTTATGTGTATACAGTGATCTACTATCCGAGAGATATTTTCTTTGACTGACAAGTATTGCTTCCCAAACTGCATTTATCCTGAGTGCAGTGAAGGCAATGAAAAAAATACCATTCATAAAAGGACAGCAACACATAGGGATAAAAGTTAGGTGGCAAAGATGTGTCGTGCTTGACTTGGATTCATAAGGAAAGTGAAAATTCTGGACAACACATCATGCTATTGCAACAGACTAGAATAATAAATAAATTTGTTGTATATAGTGTTTGGAATAAATACAGACTCTGAATATAATTTACTTACATCTCCAGTGTCAATTTTAGTGATAGAAGTGCATTTGCAAAACAGTGACAGAGACCTTCGCTGTCATCCATAATGACCTACATACTCTGTAGGATAAACTATATGTTCATTTTGAACATAAGAACAAGTGCTCTGAACAGTACTGAGAGAAGACACCAAGGGGCGCCACTTCCTTAACAAATATTCAATATGGCTCTAACATGTTTAAATACATGTTAGAGCCAGGAATGACTCATTTAAAAACATAACCAAAAAATAAATACATTTACTAACAATATTGTTAATTATAATTAGCAAGTATGCCTTCTAGGCAAGGAGACACTTTGAGTGTGTAAAATAGATGGCCATAGCATTTTTTTTTTTTAACTGACCAAAAAGGTAGGTGAAGAATTAAATAGATGAATAATAAATATAGGTATAAGATTTCAATGTTACTGTAAACCACTAAGGTTTGTGGGAAAACAAGTCAACTACTACCACTGTCTGGCAAATGCAACCTCTGCAGGGTTAAAAAGTACATCATTATTGGTACATTAAAGTTATATCACTCATTTGATGAGAGGCTTCCATCATGGAAATCCTCTCCGTTCTCGTCAGATACACTCTCCCTTTTGTCAGAGACAATTTGCTGGGAGAGTTGGATCCTCTCTGGGGACCGTGAAACACCATGCTCCTCTATCTTTAACAGCTTCAGTTTCTTTTTGGGTGGATGTTTCAAGGTCCCCAGTCGCTCTTTAACTTTGTATTCCAGGGTGCTGTGTGGAATGCCATAGATGGTTTGGGCTTTGGACACACTCATTTTCCCACCCATCACCATATCGATAGCCTCTTCCAGCAGGTCGGTGTTGTACTGTCGGTATCGCCCACGCTTCTTCCTCGGCTGCTTGTTACCTAGATCTGACTCTGATTCCTGAGGGTAGCTTCCCTGCAAGGATTTGCGGTCAGTGTCATAAGGCCAATAGTCCTTTTCTGAACCTGAGCTACTAAAACCCCCACTGCCCTTTTTCTGGATCTGTCTGGGTAGTATGGAACGAAGTGCCTTTCCCAGACCGTTCTCATAAGCTGATCTCGAATACTCGGTGGAAAGGGAATCCCAAGACGAGTCTGTTGCTGAGTTCAAAACTCGCACCTGGGGGATCTTGAGGTCAAAAGGTGATGAATGAGAAAGAGCGAGGCTGTGGTCCCTACAGGCCTCCTGGAGGTTTCTTTTGTCATAGGCAAGTGACTTTGTCAAAAGTCCAGCCGCCTCCAACAACCTGGGTATGTCTTTAAGGTGCTCACTAGCCTCGCTGTTGGTTTTGAGTTTGAGGAGGGCCCCAAAATGACTTTTAGAACTCCAGGAAGAAGATCCATTTTTGAAAAGGTCAGAAGGTCTGGAGCCGTTGCCGAGAGGTGACTCAGGGTCGCTCTCCAGATCGGGCTCCTCTTTGATGTGCAGCGAGTATGCAAGAGCTGAGGAAGGCTTATAACGGTTGGAGTGGCCGACATTCTCCCTCCTCCTCCCATCCTGTAGGCTCTTCATAAACAGCCCGACTTGCCCGTCTGCTCTCAAGGAAGGCCTGATTGGATGGAAGGAAATTGGGTGTAAGCAGAGCTTGCACAGTGCCTGATCTCTCTTTTCTAAAGGAGGATGGGTTGGGGAGGGGAGGATGTTGGCCACTCCTTTATTATATGACCTTGCTTTGGTAACATCACTGTTTTAAAATACCTGACTGCGTAGTTGAGTGTGACTTTTAAGAACAAAAAAAGTGTCAAGTTTGACCATTTTTTATTTAATTGCTGTGATGATTGTTTACAACTTTTGCATCAACATAATAGATAAGAACGAAAAAGAAGAGAAAGGGCAAAGAAACATCAAAACAAAAGCAAAGAAAAGGCATTTATTGGAGTCTTGGCTGAAAAAGCATAGCCAGAAGGAGGCAATGCTTGTTATTCCAGTAAGGCAGCTTGGCACGTAGCTGTTGAGCACGGCACACTAACAATGTCATACAAAATGACTGATGCAAAGCTCTGGACATTTTGTGTGACGTTACCACTGAACAAGCGCAGAAATAAAAGAGTAAGCCAGCAGAGGGTTTTGTGTATCGAGAGTCAAAACCCAACTGAAGTATGGTCACAAAAAGATACAAATAATGCAATTGCAATTTTTTTTTTATGAATTAATCAAATATATATATATTTTCAATTTCAAACATAATAGAAAAATCAGAGCCAGCTTTATACCTTTAGACTGATCATCACTTTTTGATTATATCAGCTCTCAAAGCATTAATTGAGGAGCATGCAAAGCCTCTAGTGTTTAATAAATATATATGTAATTATCGGTACATTTAAGTCCAGATGGATATAACAAATATCAAGGGGCTTTGCTAAAGGGGAAAACAGAAACAGAAACAAAACAAAATAAATTCTATTTGGATAAAGGTATTGTCTCAAATGTTTAATTTAATTAAGAATTAAATTACACGGCTACAGCCAATTCCATTTAAATTTGAAATACAGCCATCGTGTCATGTTTATGTACTTATTGCCCGTATTATAGGAAAACTACCTGTGTTCGCAGCATAATAACAATGCTTACTGTTTGAGAATATAACAACTTAATTCAATTATTCCTCGGGAGAAGAACAGGATGTGCAAATATGACATTATTTATTTAAACACCTCTACTTCTGCTACAACATAGAGCGTCTCTGAGGATTGGGCTAAAATAAATATGTATAGTTATATCCGCTGCATTTGTGCAGGGCTTCAGTCCTCAATGAGAATTTTTGACAAAAGGAGTTTCAAGACTGTGAGTCCTGTCGTAAATCATTATAATCAGGCCAGCCAGTTCCTTGCCAGACAATAATGAACCACAACAAGGCAGAGCTAACAAAATCCTTTTAAGCCGAGGTAGCTCGCAAATTACCAAGATGCTACCCATTATTCCCTAGCTGGCCATACCAGTGACAGGTCACACAAAAATCAGGACCAGGTGGCTACATTAAACTTATGTCTGCAAGTCATTTATTTTGAATAGCAGCATGAAACAACTGCATCCACAAGGACGCACTGGAGTAAGGTTTACATTTAGAATCCAGCAGCAGAAGCACACAAAGAATGTCCCTCTCTTGCAGTTAGAAAAACCCTTATCTCATGTTTATTTGTAGCAAAAACACTTCTGTTAGCACAACCCTGTGTGTTGCTGTTCATTTTCTTCAAGCCTCTGAGATGTCAGGACTGAGCTAATGCAAATGAATTCATGCCACTAACTCTAACCCCTCATTCCAAATTCATTTTGTGACTCACCTAAACTACAATGTAACATATCTTTGAAATCATCACGGCTTAAGGAATGAAGACTAAATAAAAAAGATATCTTACCCTTTGAGTGTGGAAGTGGCTGGAGAAAGGCAGGGGCTACGGTCAGACAGGCTGCCGCTGCTGTAGCGGTTCTTTTTGACAGATAGGTCAAGAACCCCATCTGTAAAAAAGAAAAAAAAGGAAGGGAAACAAACTCAATGTTAAGTTCAGCCTGGCCAACCACCAGGGCCCTAGCTCAGGCATGAATAGCTGCCCTGTTGCAGAAGTGTTCACACTACCTTGTTCAGTAGGCAGAGACGGGGGCCTCTTGATGGTGAGGTCCAGAGGAGCCTCCTGGTCAGCCATGAGGAGCTTGATGAGGACGGGGTTCTGGTTGTGTGCGGGCCCAGCCACGGTGGCAGCGGGGCTGGCAGGAGGAGAAGCCCCTGAGATCAAGGAGGGGGTCGGCAGGCTTTGGTCAGAGCAAGGCTGGGAATCAGAGCCACTGTCCTGAGAGGAGATGTTCTTTGAGGTATATTCGGCAGCAAACTGTCGCATCATTCTCTGAAGGATCTCTCGAGCCACTACAGGAATATTTGGGTCCGAGAAATTTGGCACATCTGAAAGGAAATACACATGGGGTTAAAAACTGTCAAGTACCTTTAGTGAACATTCACTATTGGATCTGTAGCAATAGGGTAGAACATTTACATTTATAATTTACAATAAAAGCTTACAAAGTGATTTCAGGTTCCCTGTTAATAAGCATTTTAGTGTCATAACATTCAAGTACTGTTGCACTAAGACTCACCTTTTCTGCCAAGGACTGCATGGAGAAATTCCTCGGCTTGTTTCTCTAGTCGGCTGATTGTGTTCTGATCTTTAGCCAGGAGAGGTTTCGGTGTGTCTTCAATCCCCTCGTTGGTTAAGCCAATTAAGTGTTCCTGTCAAATGAGAACACTTTTAGTCAATGGTCTTCAGACCTAAACAGGACACTGACCAATACATGGGAATGTTGTTTTATTCGGTTTACTCAGTTCAGACTGATATTGCTCTCTTTATGTAATTTGACGACAACTCATTCTGCTAGTAAACAGTAAAGTATGAGAGAGCATGGGCACTTCAAATGCTTTCCTAACATCCATCCGTCTTCTGCTTTTAGTATTTCCTCCTACAACTTCAGAAATCCTGAAAGACACCATCAAAATGTAAGGAAAGAAATAGAGAAAACATGAAATCTTACCTTTACATTGTCTCGTCTCAAACAGCAGAATAAACAATTTTCATCGAATGACCAGTCAGACACTGCTGTCGGCTCAAGGTCTGAGGGCACAGAACAGATGACAAGCAATGAAATACAACTGTGTAACAAATCTATGGTTTTTAGTTTTTCTAAACAATGTGTATTATCAGACAACCTAAAACTCAAGGTGCCTCAACATGGAGGACACTAGAGGAAGATTTGGCCCACGGTTATAGTAAGAGCTTTTAATAAAAGGTGCAGCAACAAACATTTTGACATTTAATAACCGCCCATCATAGGACGGTCAGGCTGCGGTCACTGCTTACGTGTAGCCAATGCCACATTGTCACAGCAAATATACATCCAAACCACCTCTGCTCCCTCCTACCAGAATGAATATGTTTAAAAGGGGGTTCATAATCAGACTGAATCTTATGTTTGTTGGTTTCAACAGAACCCTATTTTCTTTTTATATTAACATCTATATATTTATTAAGCATATTGAATGATGCCCTGTTGTAGGAGCCTGGGAATGGGAAGATTGGTATTGCCACCAACTACACTATAGCTATTGTGCATAGGAAAATAAAGCCTTAGAATCTTTGAATGTTAAATAGTTGGGTTGCATCATAACAATGGTTTTGTTTGAAACCTACAGTCTCCAACAATCAGTATGCATTATTCTTCAGATGACGACTCAATAACAAGACAGAAATGTATGAATGAAAGAAATGCATGGGCCAGGAAATAAAGGGTTTTTGATTTGTTTCGGTGAGACTGAGTGAATCAAAAGTAGAGCGATACATTTTAACATAAGCAGCCGTATTCTCCCCATTGCTATTGTAGAAGGTCTACTTAGACTTTGACAATCGCCTCAGTGAAACTTTAATCAAAACCAAATTAATGGCCACTATTGTCTCACTAGCATCATGCATTTTAAAAATGTCTGTAGTACACTGTGGACTTTTACACTAGCCCCACGCCATCCTAAACAGCAACCCTGTGGGAATACAAGGCGTCTTCTCTTCTGCAGTCTGCTAGAGTGAATGTAGAGAGGTACCACATGGTACAATGCAGCAGTCATGATGACAGTTTCAGATTTAACCAAAAAATCTCATTCATGCACTTACCTTTAAATAATTGTAGGTCCTCTTTCAGCCCTGGAGTAAATAGACCTTCGAGAATGCTCTCAAACCCTGAGGAAAAATATGAAATACAATAAATATGCAGTCAAAAATGCTATACATTTGGACGTAGTGTTTGTTAAGATAGACTCCTAATTGAGGCTTTGTGCTCAAAACAGCAGAACAAAATGAATCACTCTTTAGGGCAGCCTCATTCACCCAAGGGCCCAAATTAATTTGTTGTAGTCAAGGAAGAAAAGAAAATGGAGCATGGTCTACTGTACATCACTGACACTTCACGTGATAATATCTAGTGCATTCACCCAGGCTGTCTTTGCCTTTCCATTTCTTCTTGACAACCCCTGTAAGCAATCCCCTGCTTCTTTTAAAAAACACACATTATCAGCTTTCACCCCAGGTTTTTACTTCAACAGTAAATACATGCACTTCATCCTCCTGTTGCCAAGCAACTAAAGCACCTACAGAGTTGGGAGTGACTGCTTGCTGTAATATTAAAGAGAAGAGCGCCATATGATAGTGTTAAAGTATCTTATACAATGTTGCAGATTGGGAATCCTGCCAAAACCAAATCTTCACATTTCACTAAATGCAGTTAAGCAACTTCAAAAGAGCTAGCAAAACATCCGTTATCACATAAACAGGCTACAGAAAATCTTGGATGCATTACTGATGAGATGGTGGTGTCCTACAGTCCCAGCTGTTTCAAAGATGTAATGTGTTATGCTGCATAGGACTTGGTTCAACAGTGCATTAACACAATATGCAATGTCTGCTTATTGCCGCGGGGTCAATGTAACAAATCCAAAACCACTATATGCATTAAATCAAGCGCTAAAGAGGTCAGGGGTAACATCTGTCTACTGAACTGGATTTTAAATGAGTCAGAGTGCTACATCAAATGATGTAGGCACCGAAACACAGAAGTAGAATGAATCAAACCATTCTGACACAAAAAAGCCAAACAAATGGCTGTAAAAAAGAAAGAGGAAATTAAAAACATATTTGCATTTGTAGAATTTAACATTATTTAAGAATTTAGACTTATATTTAAAAAGAAAACATCACAAAATTACCCAAATGTGTATCTAACACACTAACATAGTACTGAAGGCCTATTTACAGTACGTCTTCACAGAAAAACTAGTGAGAAAATTAACAGTCCTTACCGTCAACCCTCTTCCAAAACTCACAGTGGATTCAATAAAAGCTGTCATCTGTTAAAATGCCCTCGCTCTGCCTCCCTACAAATTCCCACCCACTTTTCAACAGCCAAACATAAAGAGGGGAGTGTGGGGGGGGTTGGTGAAACTCTGCCTTGCCTATAGCTGCATGAGTCTGTTTCTGGGTTAGTGCACAGGACTTCAGCTGAAGCTATCCAATCCTATTTTCTGAAATATTTCAAAGGCAGGGGGAGAAAAGTAGGTCATCCACTTTCGTTTGACAGAGAAGCGGCATGACATCAAAATACTCTTTAGGAATTCAGTTTAGGGCATTTTTAATGTGTCATAGTGTAAACCATGACTTTGAGGCAACGTTAACATGCATTCAGACTGGCAGATAGTGCACATCATACTATGTGACCTAATTGAATCATAAAAAGAACCCCTTCACAAAAAAACAAATCAAGCAACTTAAAATATTTATAGCATGTATGGCAAGCTCTACAAAATAAATGAGTATAAAAACAGAATAATGGCTACAGTTAAAATGCACAATAAAGGGATAGAAACACTGCACCATCACTGTATTGAGTGCCCTGCACTTTACTACAGTTGCCATATGTAACGCACTTTCGGATGTAAAAAATAACTGAGAATGGTCAACTTTTCCGCTATATTTCCTGTGTAAAAAGGAACATTCACCAACTAATTAACTTAAGAAGAAATTAGGCCACCATTGAGCTCTCACAACATATATCTGGTTTGGTGTATGGTTATCAGAAGCCAGATACAATAATAAGCAAAGGTATAAAGTGATAATGAGAAAAAAGCAAAAAGAAGACCGGTAGTATTTGCCATCGGGCTTTAGACCTAATTATAATAAAACATATTGAGGATTAATGAAAATGACATACGAGCGATATCAGGTTAATGAGGCTAACAGAAGTCATCTCATCCACTGCAAAAATGGGGGAGGTAGGAATCTAGAATTGTTAGTTCATTTTTTTTTTTTTTATCGTAGGCCTTATATACAGCATATTACGTTTTTTAGGAGAACGTTACTCATTATTGTTAATCATTTTTCTCTATACGAGGAAAAGGATGATTCAAGACCATTTTGTTATTTCCAACCCTTGTTGCCTTGTTTATTTATTTACTCTAAATGAATAATGTGGCTTTCCTCCAGGCAATTTATAGTCGAGTGAAGGCAAAGCTTAAATTTAGGTATGCTGAAATGAAAAATGTATTAACATAGCAAGTGTGTTTGCTGAAATGAAAACATCTCTGTTCAGGAGATGAGAAGAGCCACTTTTGTCTACAATTTAGTACTTAATATAAAAGTTTATTTTCAACCAAGGAATAGAAATGATAATAAGAAAAAAAATTTAAACATCACTGGCATCATTTACTGTACGTTTACTATTGGTCCATTTGAAATGATACATTTAAAATCACATACTTGCTATTATTACTAATCGTATAGCGAAGTCAAAAGTTAACCATCATATGACGACGATATCTCAAATTCAGTATTAACAGATACGCGCAGTTAAATGTTTTAATCATAGAGAAATGCTGTTTATTTTTACCATTACTCTCCCCGGACTAATGGCCATTACTGAGACATCTATGATATGTAATGAAGCATATTTTGACTGAAGAGAAAATGCTCTCTCCTCAGAATCTAGAGATACCTACTTTCATTTCTCTGCGGAGGGCTTGGTTAAAAGGTAAATGACATCTCTGCAAGAGGCTAGCTTTCAACCAAGCTTTTCAAACAGGAAACATGTCGACAGAGAAAGAAAGTCATCTGATTTTTAGACTAACTTATATTGCTTAAAATTTGGTTTTGGTTTTTCTGCCCCAAAAAGAAAAAAAGTTTTTGTATAACTTCATGATTTAATTTGGGTAGCAAGTGTTCAGAAGGGTTTTTAAATATATACGTTTCCATTCAAAAATATGTCATGGTGTGTAACTTAAGGAGAACCTATTGGTAGAAATGGAATATAATACTCGAGTCACACTAAATTAAAAAGCGTTGTGTTTTTGTCTGGACAGAATGTGAACTTCACGTTGACTAAGGGCGCATCCTCCTCAGCGAGTTTACCGTGTTTCTACAGTAGCCCACAATGGATCAAATAATGGCTCTAACACGTCTTTAACATTTCGCATAGCCTAAATGCTATCGTAGGTTCTTGCGATCGTACGCTGGGAACAGGAGTGAGCAGAGGGGTATTTAGTTGGTTGCAATCGTACGCTGGGAACAGGAGTGAGCAGAGGGGTATTGAGTTGGTTGCTATCGTACGCTGGGAACAGGAGTGAGCAGAGGGGTATTGAGTTGGTTGCTATCGTACGCTGGGAACAGGAGTGAGCAGAGGGGTATTGAGTTGGTTGCTATCGTACGCTGGGAACAGGAGTGAGCAGAGGGGTATTGAGTTGGTTGCAATTGTATGCTGGGAACAGGAGTGAGCAGAGGGGTATTGAGTTGGTTGCTATCGTACGCTGGGAACAGGAGTGAGCAGAGGGGTATTGAGTTGGTTGCTATCGTATGCTGGGAACAGGAGTGAGCAGAGGGGTATTGAGTTGGTTGCTATCGTATGCTGGGAACAGGAGTGAGCAGAGGGGTATTGAGTTGGTTGCTATCGTATGCTGGGAACAGGAGTGAGCAGAGGGGTATTGAGTTGGTTGCAATCGTACGCTGGGAACAGGAGTGAGCAGAGGGGTATTGAGTTGGTTGCTATCGTACGCTGGGAACAGGAGTGAGCAGAGGGGTATTGAGTTGGTTGCAATCGTACGCTGGGAACAGGAGTGAGCAGAGGGGTATTGAGTTGGTTGCTATCGTACGCTGGGAACAGGAGTGAGCAGAGGGTATTGAGTTGGTTGCAATCGTACGCTGGGAACAGGAGTGAGCAGAGGGGTATTGAGTTGGTTGCTATCGTACGCTGGGAACAGGAGTGAGCAGAGGGGTATTGAGTTGGTTGCAATCGTACGCTGGGAACAGGAGTGAGCAGAGGGGTATTGAGTTGGTTGCAATTGTACGCTGGGAACAGGAAGTGAGCAGGAGAGGGGTATTGAGTTGGTTGCAATCGTACGCTGGGAACAGGAGTGAGCAGAGGGGTATTGAGTTGGTTGCAATTGTACGCTGGGAACAGGAGTGAGCAGAGGGGTATTGAGTTGGTTGCTATCGTACGCTGGGAACAGGAGTGAGCAGAGGGGTATTGAGTTGGTTGCTATCGTACGCTGGGAACAGGAGTGAGCAGAGGGGTATTGAGTTGGTTGCTATCGTACGCTGGGAACAGGAGTGAGCAGAGGGGTATTGAGTTGGTTGCTATCGTACGCTGGGAACAGGAGTGAGCAGAGGGGTATTGAGTTGGTTGCAATCGTACGCTGGGAACAGGAGAGGATAGGGTTGGTTGCAATCGTACGCTGGGAACAGGAGTGAGCAGAGGGGTATTGAGTTGGTTGCTATCGTACGCTGGGAACAGGAGTGAGCAGAGGGGTATTGAGTTGGTTGCAATCGTACGCTGGGAACAGGAGTGAGCAGAGGGGTATTGAGTTGGTTGCAATCGTACGCTGGGAACAGGAGTGAGCAGAGGGGTATTGAGTTGGTTGCAATCGTACCGCTAGATGCCACTAAATCCTACTGACAGGACCTTTAAGCCTTCTTCTGACCTACATCTCCAGCCAATCAGAAAAAATGAAGAGAGGAATGATTAGGAGTGTACGACACCCTCTCTGCTAGCACTTTGAAAGATTAATCCCACAGATCTACGATCAGCTTAACCTTCCTAAATCCTAACCTATGCTGTACATCACTGTGAATTGAACATAATGAGTGCTAAAACCCCTCTTTACTGCTTATTGCTAGCTCCATGTGGGTTGGTGGTGTGGCCAAAAGGTCAATATTCAGCATATGCATAAAATCTCTGAAGAACCCCCTTGTCATTTCTGCAGTGGAAGTGCACGACAGTGAACAGGCCTATTTGACGTGGACATGTATTTCTTTGACAAACGTCCATGATGTTGCTCGATTGCACAGAGGATTCCTTCAGATAACTTAGCGACAATGTTTTGCGGTCCTTGCTTACAAGTGTCTTAATAGTTTAAGCCATTTTTGAGAAATCTTTGTTCGTAAGTTATACAATTCTGCGCATTAACCTCCTCGGCAGTTGTTAAGACTTCATCCAGAGTCCCACATTTTACTCAGTTTTATCCGAGCAATTCACTACACCATGGTGGTTGAGGCGTATGGTGCAGTGGGTTGTGCGTTGGTGTTCGGATCAGGGGGTCACAGGTTCAAACCCCACTGCAGTCAGCATGTCGTTGTGTCCCTGGGCAAGACACTTCACCCCAAATTGCTCCTGTGGGGATTGTCCACAGTATTGAGTATGTAAGTCGCTTTGGATAAAAGCGTCTAACAAGTGACATGTAATGTAATGTAATGTATACCCAAATTAATTCAAAACAAAAAGGAAGCAGCTACGGAAATGTCATGTCCTGTGAGCCTTTGAAAAACCTAAAACTAAAAAGCTATGTATTAATGTGTATAGACAAAATGGATGGACCTTTACTTCCACAACCTGGCTACAAGCGATAATGGGTTTTGCTATCGCTATGGCACCTGTCCACTCACAATTATGCCAAACATGTATAAATCCGGTCAAATGTTTTCCTCTGACGAACCACAACTGTTTCTGACGAACCACAACCTGGGTGGCAGGAAAGGTTATGTGTACATATTATAAGTATCAAGGACTTCCATATGAATTCCTTTTACATCCATTATTTCTGCAAGCAATCGCCCACATTTTAATTCTGAACTTAATTATGCTTAAATGTATGCATCACAAAAAACCCAAATGTTAATAAAATGCTTACATTTAGCCTCATCTTGAGACTGCAGTGATCTTTCCAGTGGATGACCCACCCTTCCCTCTGCCGCTCTAGTGCTGAGGGTGTACAGTGCTGCATCAACCCCCACTCAGCCCATCCCCCACTGTAACTACTGTACAAACGCTATCTCTGAAGGAGTGACCACAAGCTTGCAAACGGGAGCTTCCCTAAGCTTGAATCAGTATGCAGCCAAAATAAACGTCGCTATATCTGGCACCTTTGGCTCCAGCCTTTGGAATACAAAGGGATTTATCAGCCATACATTATTTTATCTTTTAAAAACCTGCATCATGTTTTAAAAATCCAACCAATGTTCTGTATGTGATGCTTAAGAGTGGAATTTTGTATGAGGAGGGTCACCGATATCCCTGAGCAGTGCTGTTATGAAGATGTTAGAAGGGGCTGGGGGCTGAGGATGAGTGCAGAGATGACGAAGTTGCACAAATTAGTCGAGGTAAACAACATGACTATTTTCATCCGACGGCAGCTCATCACAGAGACCACTTCTAATGCATAACCGTCTCAAATGCATTTACTGTTGCTTACTAAGCTATATACAAAAAGGGAACTCACTGTGGGTCAAAAAACATGCTTACACATTACATGGGCGTGAGCAAAAAGTGCTTAAAATGTCATTTGGCTACACAATGTGTTCATTGGGAGAAGCATGCAGTAGTTTGGAGCAGGCTTTACAGCAATGAGGTGGCAGCTTTGGGCAACATCTACAGCAAAGAAAAAACCTCTGCATGAATACTTAACATGATATGATGCAAACTGACAGTCAAATGGTGTAATGCTGCGCAAAGCATAAATTTGAATAACAAATATGATACGGCCATGATTTTAGGCAAATATAAAGAAAAAGATGCATGCACACACATGTATGCTGAAGTACACGCACAGAGAAACACACAATTAAAGAAAGTGCATTCCATATGAATCCATTAAAGCTGGTGGTTATGTTTGCAAAATGTCAACAAACCTCAGCCGGCTTTTTTTAAAGGAAAATGTAGGCCAAAAGCCCATCAGAGGGGACATGCTGGAGGAGGAAATGGGCCATGCTAAAGTTTAAATAATAAACAAGACAATCTGCCTGATGTCAATATTTGCTTGTCATTTATTTGAGCACCTTAATCTCACTCACATGTCCAATGTAAGCATGAATAACTGGCATTCCTGGGATTTTCAGATGTTAGCAAATGTTCCCAAATCCACACACACAGTTTTCATCTGGGGGCTGGTGGACCATGAACACATGTAGAGGCAAACATACAGAGACAATTGTTGCTGCTGTTCTATGGGACAATTGCCCTTGTCTTAGTTCGACTGCTCACATTAAATACACAAAGACAAAATGTCCATTTCAGCATCGGCAGGGTGGTGGTGGCGTGCAGCCCTCTCCACCAAAAAGCCAAACAAAAGTATGTCCTTGTTGTCATGGACAGAACATGCCATTCTGCCGAGAGCAGACTGATGCTGTTGTCATGTACTCTGCAGCTTTACAATAATAGCCCAAACACAAGGGACATTTGTCAATCATAAAGGGGTACTGACTGACTGGACTGCCCTGGGTCTGGGGGTAGTGACTAGTCAGAAACTATTATTCTTCCTCCAATTCGTTGTAATAATGAGATTATTCCACACAGCCCACCTAGTATTGTAGACTTTAACTGGAATAAGTTTCTTCTTGATGGGTCTAAATTGTTAGCCTAGTCATTGAAAGTAAGCTCTTAGAATAATATGTATATTATAACGATCAGCTGTGCATGTATAGCCCTGCTATTACACCAAATAATGCTGCAATGTTTTGATTGTGCCTTTCACATCTTACATAATCCGTGACATAATGTTTGTTGAACTGGACCATATGGCTGAAAGTCACACACGGTTGGCAGCGTCAACTGGTTCGTGTCAATTGTTCTGCTGCTCTTTCTGGTTATGAAATCAGCTTCTTCCTTTCCTAAATAAACTAAGAGCTGAACATGTTTAACATGCATGAATTTGTGCACACACATACTACACGCCTTGTACATACATTGAACAATTCAATGAGACCTATTCATAGAGCAGCCCAATGAAGTGAGAGTGATTAAATGTGACATTTTGAGATCAGCAGTGCCAGAAGTGGTGTTCTAGGTTTTAAATACATTTGATGATGCATGTGTTCATTTTAAATTCAGTTTCATATTCTGCCCAAAACCATGAAATGCATGCATTTAAATTAAATATACGTTGCATAAAAAAAATCATAGAGACCTTATTCAAAACATGGACAGACAGATTCATGTGTATAGATTTGTTTCATAATTTAAGTTTGCAAGTTTTTTTTCCTATTTAGCCAACAGCAGGCATCATATGGAAATGGTTTCTTAATGATGCATTTCTTAATGAGTTAACACAGGAAATGATTTGATTCACATTACCCTATGAGAAAGATAAAAGTGAAGATCAACTTTGTTTCAACCAGACAAAAACTAGTAACTGATTTGATTTGAACATTTGGGTCACCGAGCAACTCTCTCCTCATTTGTGTGATCAATCTGTGTGTGATGGTGCCGAGTGTCCACATTGGCTGTTGCTATGTTACCTACTCAGAATAAGGAGGTTGGCAAGGCATGGATTTAAAAATGGCCTCTCCATCTTCTTCAAGTCCTACTGTAACACCACTAATGTAAGTCCACTGATTTTATCTGCTGATAGTTAGTCCTCAAACTTATCACAGATACATTCTTATTGTTTAAGGAGGAACAGGTTCTTTTAATAATCGAGTGTTACAAAAAAACATGAATTAACAACAGAAAGGTCTAATGTCCTACAGCAGCAAAGTAAAATGGTTTTACACTACTGAAAGCAAAGCAGTTAAAAACCAATAACTTTTCTAACAAATGCAATGCTTAGGCAGACCAATTGTTTGTAAACAACAAAAGTTAAAGATATTGAATGTAATACTAAATGTGAAATCAAGGGATTGCACCTAGAATGCATCTCAGAGAAAAAAATGTCTCTGTAAGCTACCAAATTGTGTTGCTATCTAACCATAAAGCAAAAACATTTCACTAAAAGACAAAACTGTCAAACTGCAAGTGGCACTAGTTGAGGAAATGTAATTTTACTCTGTATTCTGGACCAAAAAGGTGGACAGACACTGCAATAAGCATAGCTAAAAGTCTTCCTGTCCAACCCCCCAGGTCCTGTTCTGCAAGCTCCTTCTATTTGACGAAATTGCTTTTGTTATAATTGTTCAAAAATAGTTTCGATTCAACTCACCCTCATACAAATATGCATAATAAAAGAGCTTTAAACCCTCAAGTCAACAAGGCCTTTTTAATTATTTGTTTTAAGGGCTACTTCAAGTTAGTGTAACAATACCAAAAAATAAAAAGACCCCCAGCAGCAAGGTTTCTGCCACTTCCTCAATACAATATTGCACGCATGCATGAGGTTATTTTAGAAAAACAAACAGAAAACATCAACCACGGGCATATCTCGCCCTCCCCCATCCAAAATACTACAGTATCATTACACGGGAACGCGCATCTCAGCAAACGGGGTCTTTTAGCCGACGCAACGCATAGAGACACTCCCTTTAAAACAAGCACGGTGCCCTTTAAACAAACTAACGCCAGAATCGTTAGATAACTCAAGTCTACAGTTCGGTTAAAAATGCAAAACAGTGAGGAAACCCAAGAAGTAGTGCAACATTGTCACAAACAGCAGTGTATATATATATGCAAGTACTCAAGCTGGCTGCCGTGAGACGGAAACAGTTGAGGACAAAAAGTCGCTCGGAGATGCCCCGAGTGAGTCCGGTAATAGATGGTTATTTACATCGATAAAGGTCGCACAGAGGCGAAATTCAACCGGTGAAATTGTACACCATGTACCTGGCATTGTCCTTACCTACACAGTGAATGAGTTTATGTTTCCAAGAGTCAAGTTCCTGCCGAAAGCCGCGCCTGTCGATTGTGCATTGCTGCCTTTTACACTGACTCGCCATTTTCTATCGTTCTTGTCTGGCGGGCACGAGCACGGGAAGAGGAAGCACTCTGCTATATGAACGCGCACGCCCCTGTGTTGAAGAGGAAATCACTCCATAGGGAAATGTAGGTTTCAGTCAGTGATGGATAGTAGCAAAGTGCATTCACTCAAGTACTATAATTAAGTACAATTTTGAGGTACTTGTACACGACTTGAGTATTTCCATTTAATGCTACTTTATACTTATACTTCACTACATTTAAAAGGGAAATAATGTAATGTTACTCCATACATGTATTTAACAGCTTTAGCTACTTGTAGCAAAATGCATCTCTGAACAATTAAACTATTGGACTTTTTCAATAAAACATTTTTTTTTAAGCTATTGGATTTACTCGTTAAGTCACAAAAGAGTCAAATTATTTAAATATTCTACAGAAAGTCTGTCACAACTTTGTTTGTCTACAATGGTAAGATTCTACTTAATGCAAAAATGTTATCGATAAATGTCACATATATAAATATAATTATATACACACAACAAGTGATATTAAAGTGAAACTTAGTAAATCAATTGTATATTACATTTAGCCAACCAATGTTAGCAACAATAAGAATTCTTAGTTTATTTAAAATGAAATTCTAAGGGTTCAAGGGCTTTATTTTGTTCATATGAACTACAGTATAGTGGAGTTTTTGGAAAGATAATCTTGAGTCTTAGGCTCCTCGAGCCATGCAACATGCCATATACTTGACATATAAGTAAAATACATAATATAGTGCAATAAAATTGACAACATTGTTAAAACTAGAGAATGCAATTCCTGAAGAAATTGCTAGTGGGAATGCTTTATGCTTGGAAAAGCAGCAGAATATTTGAACAGCAAACTTTTGAACTAACTTGATGGCGAATGATCTGTCGCCATGCCAACGGCATTTGATGACATCCCATAATACGCTTAGATGCGTTGATGGCTGCATCTTTACCAAACCTGTGAAGTGTTGGGCCGTTTGGAGCATTTTCATTGAAGTTATGACAAAACCATGTTTCATGGTGAGCATTGTGTTGCCATGGCAACGGCATTTGAAGAAATCTCAAAACTGTCCCGGAGATGTCTTCACGGCTGGACTGTTAGCACACATGTGAAGTTTGAGCACTTTTTGAACATTTTCATAGGAGTTATAGCGACATCGTCTTTTATGGCGAGGGATGCGTTTCCATGGAAACGGCATATGGTGAGATGTCAGATTTGACGTAGAGCTGTTGAGGCATGGAGAGGTGATATACAGGTGAAGATTGTGGGACGATCGGACCGTGTCCATTGGAGTTACAGTGACATCATGTTTTATGGCGAGGGGTGTGTTTCCATGGAAACGGCATATGATGACACCCCATAATTGACGTAGAGCTGTTGAGGGAAGGACCATTAACCATTATCTGAAGTCTGCTGCTCTGAGCATGTCAGTTGGAGTTATGACATCATCGTGTTCCATGACACAGGTGTTTTGTATTTGAGCTAACGACGTGTCCAGAGATCAGAGGTTTCCATGGTGATAATCAGTGAGAGGAGAGCATTTTCATTGTTCTGAATGAGAGATAAACCTCTTACATGTGAACGTTTTGTTGAAGAACCGTAACAGATATCGGTGACATTTCAAAGCGTGAAGCATGTCAAGGAACTTGAGCATCTGAAATGTACTTATTGTGTACTTTCGGGATAATAATGTGGCCTTTTTGGCAGATTAACTAAAGGTGTGCGGCTGCTGTGGTGGGGAAAGATGAGGCTGAACTTACAATGGGGTTTAATGGAGACATGTTGAAAGTGTTTGTCACTTCATGCCCTCAAGAGGCATTTTGTTTAATTATTTTGCTTAATTATTTTTAATTTTTCAAGCTACGAGATGTTTTCCTACGTTTCTCATGAAAAATGATGTCTCAGGAATGTAGGGTTTGGGAATGATGGCAGGTTTAAAAGAAAATATGAAGGCAAAATGAAATCTGTCCTCCACTCTAGCTGTGACATCACACACTCTAATATCTGAAGAAGGCCTCTTTACCAAGGTCTGAACAATGTTTAATATCTCTAAAAGTACGAATCAGATTTAAAAGTTGTGTTACACGAATAATGTCAGAAAGATGTGTAACATTTTAAAGTTGGAATGAGGTTTCTGAGTGAAAGTATGAAGGAGCAGTTAGCAGTTGAATTTGCATGAAGATTGTTCAAGTCTGAAGAGTTTCTCCATTGACTTCCATGTTAAAAATGGGATGAATTATGGGATGTATCTCTGGAATTATGAAAGTTATGAATAAGAAAAGTAATAGCCATCGATTCCCGACCGAGCTGAACGTTTGAACGGAGTTTCTGCGATGTGGAATGTGAGAGAAGAAGAGGTGCAAAATGACCCAGCGGAATAATAAAAAAATTTGTGCGTAGCATAACAGATAGTGTTAAATAAGGCTGATATATTATATCAGTCACTCACTGGGTAGCATGTTCTGCGGTTTATAGAACAAGATACAATTGTTACACGGGCAACAGCCCTGTGGTGCTATAGACTCTCGGAGCCCAAATGCCCCTAGGTATATGTGGCCAACAATGTGTGGTAATTTCATTGATTGAAAAAACAAAACAGAAATGGTTTAGGTTTCAAGGCAGATCCTGCATTTGGACCAATTGCATTGTTGGAGAAGCCTGTGACATAAGATTTTCAACGTCATAATTACTCTGTAGCTATGTTAGTTTGACAATAAAGAACCTTGAACCTTGAACCTTGAATGCTTTCAATGCTTTTCCACACTGAAATATCTCCATAAATTACCATTAAGTTTAGTAGATAATACATATTTGATAGTAGTAGTAGTAGAAGAAGCAGAAGTAGCATGGATAGTAGTATTAATAATAGTAAGGGTGTTGAAGAGCTTTAATAAGCTATTGTCAGGCTGCTGTTGCAATGCTGCCAGGCTGCTGTTGTAATGCTGCCTTCAAATGCTGTCGGGATTCTTGCCATCATGAACTGAGCCGAGCGTGAACGTGAACACGAAAACAAATTAAACACTTTCAAAGAGGGAAACGTTTTCTATAAAAGTTGTTTAGTTGAGTCTGTATTGGTCAAGGAGCATATGAAGCAAGTCAACATGTTTGACGTTTAGATTGTATCATGTAGGAAGATGTTTTGCAATGTTCATGTGACCTAGCTGCTATAGCATAGCCATTCCTCTAAATTCTAAAATTAAATAACGACCAATAAAATCTTTTATTGACGATAATCTTAATTTGTGACAAAGATATTGCACTTGAAGCTTATTTTAACGTCAAGTACGACATTCATCTGGGGAGTAGGAGTTTACGAAGAGTACCTGAATGCGGCATACGTTTCTCAGCCGGTGTTTTCATATTGTACGCCCCTCTGCTGTTGTACGGCTGTTTCCATGCTTCATAGACGACAAACGTAGCGTACAGGTAAATGATAGCAATAAAAGGTGTTATCGCTTTTTGCTTATTAGCTATGTTGCCATAGGTTACGGTCGATTAACATTGGCTTGTCATTACAAGCGATAGCTTATTTAGCGTACGTAAAGGCTGCACTGATTAAACATATTGACAGTCTAAATTGGATATTATTACGATATCGTTTGAGTGTTTCGATCTGTTGTGAGCTGATTAATTATTTAGGATTTTCAATGGCGCCCCATGGGTAAAACTACACCTGACTGCCATTCTGTAACACACTGCTATTTGGTGAACATTATTTTGAAATGGGCACTATGTGATAAGCTTTTGTTTAGATCTGCAGTCATGCCACAGTCACGTTTTCCTGCCTATTCCGTCTCAGAAGGCGTTGTGCCCCCTAAGTGTGTTTTTAAACTAGGCTAACACACCTCAACCAGAAACACACACTAATCAGACTTCTTAGGTTGACACTTATAGGATCTGGTGTAACTTGTCTTCATCCTTTGATCCCAACCATACTTAGGTAAAACATATCATTACAAAAAGGTTTTTTTTTCTCTTCACCAATTCTGACAACAGTCTCCTCACTATTGAAATATATGAAGACAGAAACAACTGCCTCAGATATTTAATTGTGAAAGCTGCATGACCTGACAAATAATCCTTAAACTCATTTATTCATGATGTTTGGTACTGTAACTAAAGGAGCTGAATACTAGTCAAATGAGGTTGTATGCTACTTACCCTCATGCATGATTGTCCTCTGTCTTTATTGTTATTTATTTTTTACTAATGGTTATGCCCAATTAGTACTATGTTTCAAAAGCTGGGGTTAGTTGCTTTCATTACAATTGTAACGAGCTGGGTGTTAACAATATGTCCTTAAGAGACAATTACTACCTCTGCTTTATGGGCTGGAGGAGGATTTATAATCCCATTATGGAATAGGTATTTTTGTCTTACTTTCCTCCATAGTTTAGGTTAAGGTAATGGTCAGCTGTTGAATGATTGTGTTCTTAAGCTCTGTTGCCAATGTGTGTGTCTGTGTGTTGAAAACAGGGGGGACATGACTCTGACCAGAGGATCTTTCACCTATGCCAGTGGGGAAGAGTATCATGGCGAGTGGAAAGAAGGCAAGACAGTCATGCGTTAAAAATTAAGTTTGTGTGCAAGGATCCCCAACTTAACCACACATATATAGCTTCACTTGCACCTTCTGTACTGTACACAGTGCTCACAATGTCTCTCTGAGGCATCATTATGTTTGTGATCAGTCCAGTAAAAGAGAATGAGGAGACACTGAAAGACTGGAAAAATGCATTCAGGGTTTTTTATTGGTTTTTTAAACTCATTATTATGATGTGCAGGTACCACATTGGGAAAACAATAAATCTCTCCCAGAATGTTAATATCAATATCATTTTTAATATTTATATTGCCATACTAAGTGCAGCTCTACTTATGCACCATATTTCTAGATCCTAAAAATGGTCTCATGTACTCATGCAAGTTAAATTGTAACCATAATTAACAAAGCCATAACTGAGGAGAATGACAAATGCAAATAGGGTGCTGTTAATTTACCTCTGAATACTTAAATCTTGTGACATACTGTAAGCTAAGGCAACAGCAGTGATTGTAATGTAACCACAGACTGTATATAAAGGATCTAACATTGTTTAATTTTAGAGAAGCTAAATGGAAGAAATGCAAATACCAGGAACATAAATAATTGTCTTCTGCATGGATGTGTGCATTCTACAATGTTAAATATTCTGTCAAATGTTCAGCAAAGATTTCATGGATGTTGGCACTGTTTTAACTCACTCACTCACTCTCACACACACATGTGTGATGTTGGGGACATGCAAGCCTAAAGCTGTTTATTAAATCCCAATTAGCTAGTACTGATGACCCATGACGAACAGAGCCAGATTTACCAGATTTAATCTTCTGGATTAGACTTTGAACCTGTTTGGGAACTCTTAGAGAGCCCTCTGTCAGCTTCTACTAAATAAAACCAAATCAATTGAAATACAAGGTTGACTATCAAGGGGGTTTTATTCCATCTTTACAATAATGTAATAATTTACACATGCTTTTAGGTCAACGAAAACATGGTCCATACCATTTTAGCTGGTGTATTCCTTCCACCTTTAAAGGCAACCTGACCTCCTTTTCAAGTTTGGCAAATGCAAGCATAAAGCCAGTTATAGCAGATGTCCAGACACGTGTAGGTGTGTGCCCTCTGACATGATTATAAGCTTCAGAAGTGGATCATAGGTTACCAGAAGGGGAATGCAAGAACATTCCTTGACTGTTTTTACAGTCTGGATCTTAAAGTGGAAATCCCTGCTAAAAAATCTGATGGATTAGAGTGCTGTAATTCTCACCACACAGGAGGCAGATGGGACTCCTAATTCAGTAGTAAACCCTTAGCTGACAGAGAGGGGGGGAGGATACCTAAATCCCAGCATGTACTGACTTGTTACATATGTAGTGGCTCTCCCATACCAAGTGAATATAAAACCATGAGCTGCATTGCGAGTTCAAATGTCATGCTCAGTTGGTCGTCTCTTACAGTATGTTGCACCATTATGAAAGACTAATCCATAAGAGGCTAAGTGGTTAGATAGAGTATGATGACACCCATGAAGATCTAATGTGAATTGACAAATGGTATCAAGGTCATATGCCCTTTCAGGATTACATTCATCTGACAGAATTTGAGCCATTAATCAGTTTGATCTGCATCTTTCCAGGTCGGAGGCATGGAGTTGGCCAGCTGAAGTTTCAAGATGGAACCTGCTTCTCTGGCCAGTTTGAGAATGGACTCTTTCATGGCTCTGGTGTACTGCTCTTTACAGATGGATCCAGGTGTGTGAGCCAAAAGAAAAAGAAAGGCATGTTTAGTCCTCAATCAAAAGTCACAAATAACACCCTAATCTCTTTGTACCATGTCAGGTATGAAGGAGAATTTGCACATGGAAAGTTTCAAGGCACGGGAGTCTTTAGTCGATGCGATGGCATGCAGTTTGAAGGAGAATTTAAAGATGGACGTGTTGAGGGATATGGTAAGGCTTTTACACCATTAGAACAGGTTGCCAATCATGTTAGTAGTATTTCTCTTCATTGTGTCCTGTGTCTGTGTCTCTAGGGCTATTGACCTTCCCAGACGGAGCTCATGGTGTCCCACGAAACGAGGGCTTGTTTCAGAACCACAAGCTGCAGAAGAGGGAGAAGTGTCCAGGAGTGGTGCAGCGTGCACAGGCCTCAGCCTCCAATGCTCGCATTCTGACACTTTGACCTTCATGGACCCTGGAGGACACACGGTCAGGGTTCCAGCACCTTCTAGGAGGATCTCAAGGATGCAGTACACTCCAGCTCTTCTCTCCTCTCTTTTTTCACCATTTATGGTTTTTTTCTGCATCCTCCTTGCTTAGCCTTCACAGTGGCTTGGAATGCACATGCAATTTGACCAAATAATGGCTTTCTTTCTGACTGACTTGAAATTTACAACACCATTAAGCACACCTTTAACTCCACAATTCATGCACCCACCAAATGCTGCTGTTTTCCCCTTGTACTTATTCTTGCACCCATAAACAGTGTCTTAGCGTTTTCTCTAGAATAGTTAGCTACGATATAAAACAACTTGTTCTACAATTGTAGATCTGATACTTTAAAAAATGTAGATCTGATACTTTAAAAAATTAATCTTTATAAAAGTACATTAACCATTACAAGAGAGTTATAATGTCCTATGTAGAGACTTGGCCTCTGGTACAGCAAGCAAGCACAAATGGATCTAAACAATGCACAGTTTAAAAAAATAAAATAAATTGGCTTTACACATTTTGTTAAAATGAAAGATACACATTGTACATTTTTGTGAATGTACTCCACAGGGCACCTCGTCTCCATTAACAGTGCTGCTTCAAACTCTAGCTTTGCATGTATGTATCATCACTGGTGTGTCTCCTTTTAGAATATCAGTATTCACGTTTGCCTTAAAGACATTCTGGTACGAGATTGTAGTTCCTGGATGAACATCTGAAAATACGATGACTCACAGTTCCCTTCCCTTCTCCTCGGCATCATTCGCCCTAAGGTGTCTGTCATCTTAATGAATTTGAGGCCTGTTTAAAGATTGCCTTCACTCTGAGGGACATATTGTTAAGCTGGTACTGAGTCTTCGCCACCATTACTCACAAGTCTAGCAGCTCTCCTCTCTACAATAAACCTCCTCTCCCAGTGGAAATCATGGGACTCTGCTGGTTAATTCTCTCATGTTTTCCCCTGTATTAACTAAAGACTTGGATGACTGGACATCCTCAAAGTTGTTAAATAATCCTAATTAAATGCATTGAATTGGGGACATTTATTTTAATTAAGGCAGCTGAATGAAATAATTTCTAAACCAGATGTATATATTAGAATATGTAATTATGTATGTGTTTTTCTGTGTGGCGTATACATATTCATTGTCATCAGTTGTGTTTTTTCTGACCTTAAGGAACTAGGTGTTTCATTTGTCACGTAGGAAAAAGTGTTACTGAGTTAGCTGAGACCGTGTGGTTGAGTATTTTGAAAAAATGTATAAACCATTATAGCCAATCACAGCTATTGTGTGATTACAGATTCATTCAGTGTTTGGTTACAGCAAAAGCTTCTACATTTGCCTACATAGACATTTAACCAAAGACAATCAAATGGTATTACATGTAACAAAGCCTGGAACAGCCAACAGGAGTTACATGTGTGTTGTCTCACTGCTTAACGATAGAAACAAATCAATAAGGACAAACCCACCTGGGGCTTTAGTGCGCATTAAAAACAAAAGGACCGAAGATTAAACAGGGAATTGTTATGAGATTCTGTTTCTAGCCTGGATTATTGCTGATTTCGATTGTTGTTTTATTCTGTGAGGGAAAAAAAAATCAATACTCTGTCATGAACCCACACTGCTAGTTGCTTTCAATCCCTTCTTTGGTATGACAGTGTGCTGCAAGGTGCAATCAGAAGTATTGAAGATAACATTAGACATAGAAACAGACCATTGCATGCCTCAGTACCGTCCTCTACGATCACACAATGCTGCTTTAATGCCTGTATGTGCAAAGTGTGTCATATCCTGTATTTCAGATCATGTTATGGTATTTTTCCTTTCTTCTATTTCGGCGATGGCGCTAACTCAAGCCTTCTCTACCTACACATGTCTGCCTGAGTGGAATTGAAATAACAAAAATCCACATTTTCCAACTGGAAACAAATGGTGCTTGAAAAGCGTGCCTTTTCCAGACTTTCATCTTTCTATGAAATATCATTGCTGTGGTTACTTTTTTCAGTAACAATATAATGTTGCTCTTAGTGCTCTTAGATCAAACTACTGCACAGTATCCCCTCATTCTCCTTGAATAGGTCTGAATATGTATTGGAAAGGCGATAATGTGTTTAATAAAGCCTTGTGTTGAGAAAAGAAGCATGTGTTTCATTGGGCTTGCTTGTAGACAGTAACATGATAGAGTTGTTCAATTAAAGAGAACTATTTAGCTATGTCTGATGTTTTAACACCAATGGCTAGATTTGCAGTAGGGTATATGCAGCTGTAGATAAGGAGCGTCATTTCATGGTTAAACAGGTTTCTCTGGTTTTTGGCATGCCACACAGCACAAAGCAGAAGCATCCAGTTCTCCCATCCCCCTTCTCATTCTACACCCTCAGTAACAGCTCAACAGCACACGGTTTGTATCTCACATGGCATTTCAAACAACACAAGTGAAGCTGTTATACTGATATAAGTCCAATAGATTTAATCTTCCAGAACTACATTACATTGAAGAGTGTATACTGTATTATCTCTGTTAGGGTCAGGTTGACAAACAAGATGTCCCGTAGCTAACCTTGTATTGTACATAATACGTGTCTCTGACAGTTGTACACAGACATGCCTGGAACAGGAAATGCTGTGTGTGACTGATAATGTATCTGATGGGCTTCCTACATGAACACATTGCTTTTTAATCAAATGCAGGGGTTGCATTCACATTATGAAAAATACAGCACAATATTTGTTGAACAAAATGAATGGCTGTGTGTTTGACGACTAACTGTGCATAAACAACTGCATTGCAAGCAGTGGAGCAAGCTGTTGGTATCCCCTGTGTAAATTAACAACCTCCCTCAGGAACATTTGAGCCACTGATGATAGAAGGAAAATATGTCCACTGAGCTCCCCTTCAATCCCTGACTTTAGCGGGGGCATACCAGCCATCTCTGCTATCGTCAGCTGACGTCTCAAACACAGCGCTACTGTGTGCTCTGGCCTTGTCTGTCGCCTCGATAAAACAAGGACCTCTTGATGTATATCCAAACGCAGCTTCTGCACAGCACTATCTATTAATATTATTCAACTTCTAAAGGCATGACAAATCAGATATGAAACATCCATGAGAGTGATCCTCAGATCATAAAGCTCTTTAGAAGTAAACATCAAAAGCCAGGGCTTGGCTAAAAGATTTGAGAAACTCAGCTTTGTTTCCCCCATTTATATGTTTGTGTCTCCTTCTTTAAGATAAGCAGATCATTTTTGAATCTGTCACATCCAAGCTGACATTTTCTAGTGTCAGAGTTCAGACTAATCTCAGAGGTTTAACTGTCATGCCCTAGAAAGGCAGATTTGGTTGGTGAGCACATATAATGTATGTATTCAAATATGATGTACACAGACCTACAGTGGAATTGCAGAATCTATTTGTAAACCTGAGAAAGATCATGGAAAAAGATTTCATAATTTTTTTACTGTATGAGTAGATTTTCAGCTTTTGCACTAATCATTCCTCTCTCGTGAGGTGTTCTCAGGTCCCACCTCCGTCAGCTTCTCCAGTCTCTGAAGGGTCTCCATGATGTCAGACTGCCATTGTTTAACCTCCTGCACTGCGGTCACTCCCTCCTGTAACACAGTTACACCGTTTTTGTTACGAGGGGGCATATTGTATAGTATTGTTTAGCTTCACATTTTAGCTTCTTATATGCAATCAATGAGTACCCTTTAAAGGAGCTGTTTTACATTTTGGTAAATAACTTACACCTGCTATAGACTGCCGGTTATCTCCTTTTTAAATCACCAGCATTTTTGTAGTTAGCTTAGCGTTAAGACAAGGAACCCAGGTAAACAGCTAGCCTAGATCTGTCCAGGGCCAAAGGAAACAAATTCTGCCTACCAACACCTAAAAAGCTCCCGATTTACACCTTATATCTTGTTAATTAAAAAAAAAGAACAGAGTTCAAAAACATACATTTGCCATTTTACTGGGTGGGTCTGCTCTATTTCTTGACCAACCAAAAATAGTTGAGAATATTATCACCTCATTAAACAACAAATTCAATTGTTATACTTAGTTTTTTGTATTAATTAAATAACGAGATATTGGCCACTTGGTTGAGCTTGCGACCCATGCTTTACTGGGGCTTGAGACATTTTGAAAAAACTCACATGATTTTTTATTGTTGTGTCAGCCCCTGCATCTATGAGCAGGTTCAGTATCTTGTATCTGTTGAGATGTACAGCATCATGAAGGGCTGTGTCGCCTTCCTGTGAGTAGTAAAAAAGGTGTTAAATGCAGAAATGAATTATCGAGAAGATGAAACATGCTGTTACGCCTACCCTGTCCCTGCAGTTGATTTTAGCACAACAGGACAGCAGGTACTCCACGATGGTCGTGTGGCCTGTTCTTGTGGCCACATGCAGAGGAGTGCTGTACAACTGCAATGTGGACATTGACATACATTCACAGTGACAAACACATTAGGGACTTACTGTATAGGCATATTATAACAGTTTTACAGTATGTTACACAGTATGTTCCAGATACACAAGACCCAGGCACAAATAAAATGCACATTCACCTTATCTCTAACATTCAGGTCAGCCCCTTTGCTCCTCAGGGCTTTGACAACTCCCAGGCTTCCCCCTCTGCACGCCCAATGTATGGCCCTGGAGCCCAGCTGAAACACAGTAGGATGGCCCCATTCTATTAATAGCTCACTCCAGGCCACTAGAGGCTGGAGCTTTAGTGAGTGAAGATAATCTCAACCAATCTCATCATCATCTTTACAAACAAGCCATGTGCCCGCACGTCTTACTTCATCTTCGAAGTTGATATCGGCGCCTTTTTCCAAAAGCGTTTGGACAACTGCAATGTGTCCCTCGACAGCCGCACGGTGCAGGGCTGTCCTATTCAGCTTGAAAGTTGAAACATATCATGAGTATAAAAGGGACTTGTTGTATAGTATGTTGTAAATGTATCTGATGTACTGACACACAGGGAGAGCATACCTCATCATGCACATTAGGGTTCCCCCCATCATCCAGATATTTATCTATTACATCCAGTCTCCCTTGTCTGGCTGCTTTCATGAGTTCTGCAGTATCCATGTGCTCTATCTGTCACACACACACACACACACACACACACACACACACACACACACACACACACACACACACACACACACACACACACACACACACACACACACACACACACACACACACACACACACACACACACACACACACACACACACACACACACACACACACACACACACACACACACACACACACACACACACACACACACACACACACAAAGAGACAAGAGAGGTATAGATCCAATTGTATCTATTTTATCTCTGTTGGGCACATGAAGATAGGATTCTTGAAAAACGTAGCTCACCACAGGGATTTCAGCTGACACCCTGGGCGAGCATGTCTTCTTGATCATCTTTTTCCCTTTGCACAGATCTGTAATATTCTCTCCTCTACTCAGGTCCAACATTTCACAGTGTGGGTCTGAAGACATCCTCGCTCTATCTTCTGCCTGGAAAATGACATAAACAGTGATGCGATAATAATAATAATAATGTATATATATATATTTGTAAACAAGATAACATGGTTATTATTAGTTTGTAAATGAGGTTTGCCAAGTTTGCTAAGGGGTGTTGAGAGTTGAGAATGGTGGCAGTGTCAATGTCAAAATACATTTACAGCATACTGCAAGCTAGGCTTGGTCATAAAAGCAACATTCACTGCTGTCATTATGTTTTTGGATTATTAACCATTGAGAAAGAGCACCTGCACACTCAAATCTGTGCACAAATCTGTTCAATTAAAAAGCAAGGCTAGAAAATGTCCAGATTAATATATCTATAAATATATATAGATAGATATTTTAAATTTTTTGGACAGTTTTGAGTGTGTGGAAGCTCTTTTTTATTAGGTTTGATAGTCTATAGCTCTGGCAGTGAGCAGTGTTTTTTCCCGCTAAATAATTAATCAATTACAAAGAGTTCAAAGAAACATATCATTGTGTGTATGTGATCTTTTATCTCCCAGCTTCTTTTTTAATTTGGCTTATTTGAAAAAAGCCAAAGAGCACTGTTATTAATTCCATAATTGACACGTTCGTGGTGGTTTCTTTGGTCTTTTACTGTATGCTTGGAAACCCTTTAATTGACAGAAACTCATAATTTGGTTCATAGTGATACCGTTTTATATTAAGTTAATGTGAGCAATTATAGACCATAATGATCTTATCTGTTTGCATTTCATTATTTGATTGGCTGCACATGAAAGGAATATAAATTAATCTGTGGCAAGATTGATTGTGTGCTTTAGAGCTATATCAGAAATAAAGACTAAAAGTCCATTTGTATGAACTCACAAAATAAATAAAGAAACAAATGCATTGATACACAAAATGTATCAAGTTATCATCTCTACATATCATTGACAAAGCATATGAACAGGAGTCTTTTCTTTTAAGTAAAACAGTATTTAGTGAAACTATAGTGAATTAAATGTCACTTTACACAACACATTAGATTATGCTTTAAAAGAAAAGTATCCAAATTCAATTTCATATCTACTGTTTTTGATATGTATGTGTGTTTCTCACTGTAGATGTTGTGGATGTTGAAGTAGGCTGACAGACATTTCTCTCCTCATGTTCATAACAGATATAACTTCCTTTTGTCATAAATCAGGGCATTCGTTACACATTGTGATATTGTGGTATTAGTAACATTCATTTTCTTTAAGAAAAAATAATCTCCATAGGTGTCTAATGATTGTAATGCCATGAGCCATACTGCCATATTAATGGAAAATCATCACACATTTTGCATTAGTATTTTTCTAACCTACCTGAACTTCTTTTTCTGCTCCTGTCTTGAAGGTGGTCACATCAATTGACCACTGCTCAATGTCTTCCATCTCTATAGAACTCAAAGATACAGAAAAATAAAACCGTCAATAAAACAATTTTGAAAAGTAGAAGCTTTATAACCTTGGAGTTATAATACTGAGTAAAATCTGGCCGGCTGAGTGTTGCTTTATACAGAAGCGCTGCAAGCCCAGTGGCTTCCTGGCTGAAATATCGAGTTCATGGTGGGACATTGTGTCACCCTATCAAACAGGTGTGTGTGCATTTTGGTGAGTGTGTATGTGTGTATGTGTACTTGTCAGCATTACAATGTCCCTCTCCCTTTCCCTCTCCCTCTTTTCCTCTCTGTCATGCACACACACACACACACACACACACACACACACACACACACACACACACACACACACACACACACACACACACACACACACACACACACACACACACACACACACACACACACACACACACACACACACACACACACACACACACACACACACACACACACACACACACATTTATACACAAGTACATCCAACCCCCCTGGCATGTCATGCCTGGGGTCATGAGCTCAGGGAAAATTCATTCCACGAGATCCTGATTTTACTCAGTACTGTTGCTGCAACATTGTGTAACGCTCTTCACAGGAGAACAACCCTCATAAACACGCCGTTTTGGGGGATTATGTTATTTATAAAGGTTTCATTACTGCCAAGTGATAGCTTGTAAATATCTGTTTGACAACACACCAACAATCAATCATCGTCCAGCCAACCATGGTATGGGTATAGACGGACTGAGCAAACACAATAACAATTCTTTTTTTAGTGCATCAACACTTTAATGTGCCATCCAGTGTTGCTTTATCACTTTTTCTCACAATGAATGTGTTTCTGGACACGCCTCATCTCCCTGACATTTGCATGCCACAGTGTGACCAGGGTAATGGTTAACCAGTGTTATTGAGGGAAGTGGCAGAGTTCAGTGGAGTAGGAGGCAGCAGCAGCCATTTTAGCTACATAGCACTCTGTTTACCCTTCATGCATGGAGCCAATAGCTTAGATCTCTACCAGGCTGGCTGCGAGGTACTTTGTCTGTGTTACTCAAGTACTGTTGCTTCAGTTTGTTTTTTACACACAGTGTTTGTTGAAATGTAGTCTTACTCTAAACTCCATAAATACGTCCATGTTTTTATATTAAAAGTATGTCTTTACTATGGAGAATAGCATTATTGGTACATTGCATTTTAATGATAGGATTATGATAATTGCTGTGATGTGTGTGTTTCAGGTGGGCGTACAGGTGCCATGGTGACGCCGAATCATCTGAGTGTAGAGGATCCAGACGATGGCTCTCCTCTGCTGCCTGAGGCTACAGAGGCTGTAACACCAACGTCTGTCTTTCACAGACAGCGAGGGATCACAAAGACTGACTCCAGGGAATTTTTCCTGAGCAGGTGCATCTCGCAGGCGCTGTATTTGTTTAGTGGACCTGTTATTACATACTGCTATAATACTGTTGTCTTTTCTCTCTACGATTCAGGAAAGAGAACCTTGCTTTCAGTCTGGTGCTGCTGATAGGATGCTACTCAGCTATTCTGATTCCTGCATATCTTCCCTTGAAGAAAGTTGCAGTTCTCAGTGATGACAACCTACATCCTAAAGATCTGGTACAGATACACAACTGAGCTATTGTTTTTACATCAGCGGTGTCCAAACCTTTTTCATTTAGGGCCATATGTGACGAATATACAGTAGCCTCATATGTTAAGTTATAAGTTAGCAAAATCAATCAAATGTAGGTACATTTTTCTTGATGATTGAATATGCTTAAGGAAAAAAACAGCCTACATCACAGCTCTCCATTAACAGGGTTTAATTATTTTCATTTTGTTACAAAAAAATTGGGCTTTTTTTAACAACTAAGATTTGTTAGAAAATGTTTCAACTTGAATTGACTGAATTTATTGAAACATTGGGCACATGAATAATACTGTGTCATATATTTGTACACATATATTTAAGAGGAACATTATAAGTGAAGCACAAGTTTCAGATGTGTGCCATATTCCATTATACTTTTAGAATAAGCTGAGGGCCAATCAAAAATGGACCCATGGCCGTAGTTTGGACACCCCTGTTTTAGATCATTACCTCACTCTTTTCAAACCCCTCTGTTTGTTTTCTGCTCCCTTCAGGTCTTACTAAACCAGTCGGCCTCCCTGCTGTCGGACCCCTGTCAGCCTTGCTGGTGTTTGAACCACCTGAAGCCCCTGCCCTGCTCTGCTGGCCTCCTGGACATCCCAGTGTTTGTGCAGCAGGACAGGCCGGTGCCCTGGGATCTGTCCCCTCCTCTGGGGCTCCAGGGCAGCGAGGAGCATCTGGCCCTGGCTCTTGCATCTCTGCCTCAGCCTGGCCTGCCTCCATCACTGAGGAGAGATGGCAGCTGCAGGCGCTGTGTGGTGGTGGGCAATGGAGGGGTTCTTCATGGGAGTCATCTAGGACCCCACATTGATCAGTATGATGTCATCATCAGGTATGTGTGACAGTGTTAGTCAGAAACAAGTGGGAGGAATCTTCCTCATGTGACAGGCACTAGTGCTATGTTAGACCTGAGCTGATGGACCCTTTCCTCAGCAGATACAATTGGAATGAGTTTGAGGGGAAAGTCTTGGCCTGCATCATCAATTTCATACTTTTTCATCTCTGCTACCAGGCTTAATAATGCTCCAGTGCTTGGCTTTGAGAAAGATGCTGGTTCCCGAACAACCATCCGCCTCATGTACCCAGAGGGAGCACCCCACTCTGCAATTGAGTACAAAAAGACCACCATGGTTGCTCTGGTGGTCTTTAAGAGTCTGGACCTAGACTGGCTCACTTCTGTCATCACCAAAAAGCCTTTGGTAAGCCTACATCACTGAAACCATTGCATAGTATTACATAAGCCATGTGCGTCATAGATATTCATCATCACACTCACTGCCTCACATGCTCTACATCTCCTGGGTTGATTTTTAATAGAGCTTCTGGTCCAAAATATGGTTCTGGAGGGAGGTGGTGGATGATATTCCTCTGAGACCAGAGAGCTTCAGGATTCTCCACCCAGAGATAATTCACAAGACAGGACAAGTCCTACAGAAATATGCTCTGAAGCTGGGAAATGTGAGTTCCATCGTGCTTTGTTCTACTCTTTCATACAATGCCAACATGCCAACAGAAAACCAATCTTAGAACAGCTGGCCTTACCCGTCTTGAGTAACATATGTATATGCCTGGCTCTGACATGTATTGACTTTGTTATAAGCCTAGGAATCAAGGGTTTGAAAGATAAGCAAACACAACCTTCAATTCAACATGCTCATACTATTACCCATGCTCTTTAAAATGAGTAAACGTTATAACAGTATTTGGTGCTCAAACTGTTTAAAGCAAGGATAAAAGACAATTTTTCTCTTCTAAAAAAGATGGTGCCAACACTAGGTGCTAGTGCGGTGGTGATGGCCTTGCAGCTGTGTGACCAGGTGAGCCTGGCAGGGTTTGGGTACGACATGAAGCACCCAGAGGCGAGGCTTCACTACTATGAGGCCATACGCATGGGTGCAATGAAGGCTCAAGTAAGTTTATATTACCAAATGTTGGTACTAGGCTGGGAAATTAAGTATTTTCTTCTCACCTACCACAATAGCAGGTTACTGAACATGTATATCAGTCACTCAAAGTTGTTGTCTGTCTTCTGAAATCTCTACATTATGTTTTAGAATTCTAAACACTCAGTCAATAGTTCAAGACAGTAAAAAAACATCATGTAACCTTAACACCTGGCTATTTTTACCTCTGAATTCTGCTCTGTATCTGCCAAATAATAGGACCTGCCATCTGCCATGGTGGCACGTGTCCTACAATTTGACCTGCCAAAGCCAACATTAACCGTGTGTTTGGCAGGTGGCCGGTGCTAATTGCATTCCTTGAGCAGTACGCAATGTTAAAGCTAGCAAGCCTCATGTTTTGGTTTATTCATACCTTGTTTTTATTACCGTTGTCCAGGTGGTGCATGATGTCAGTGCTGAGAAACTCTTCTTGAGGGACCTGGTGGCTGCAGGAGCCATCACAGACCTCACAGGAGCTCTGTGAGCCAGCAATGCAGAAACTGAGAATCTACTGAACACACTACTCCTTCTCACTGCGAGAGTGTGGAGTCCTCCATAAGCTTGAGGAATCGTTTGTAACGTGGACTGACCTTTAAAATGCTCACAGTCTCCTGGGTCAACTGATAATTGAGCGAATTAAAGGTTAGACAATGATTGGTGAGACCAACTTTAGAATATCTTTATTAAATTCAATAAAATTGTTACAGTACTTGCAGTTACAATTGTATTAATTGTCATATGGTTGAATAACTGTTACTTCACACCTAGGACCAAGCTCAGCAATTCACTGTATTTTGTCAAATGAATGTAAGGGTGAATGGTTCAAATGGTGCCATTTCAATTCTGTTTACAATGACTCAATAAACAAGTGAATGTGATATTACTGATGTTTATTGTCTCCAAAAATACATCTATACTCAGAGAGACATACAGTAATTACAGTATTACACTAGCAGTAGCAAAGGCAACAATGGAAATATCTGCATTTATAAAAACGGATCAACTGTATGTTTAAAAAAGCTCTAAACAAAAAAACAAACATACAGAATTACTTATAAATAGGGAATGTCATAAATTCAAAAAATATATTATAAACGTCTAGGAGTGATATTATCATTATTATTCAAACAAGACTCACCACTGTACATAAGTGCAACAATGGTGTCCGATTGTGCTTGAAAAGTGCTTTGAATAAACAAATAAATATATATAATTCGTGCCTATGTTCCGTTTTTCCATCACTTTCATATATATATGTATATAAAGACAGTGAGAGAGTGTTTTTTTCTCTTCTTGGCAATACAACAAACAAGTACCTTGGCTACTGTGACTCAGTCTGAGTGTGTGGGTGCGTCTACAGCAGAGGATTGCGAGATGGCTCCCACAGTTTGCTTGCCA